TCAGGGTCATTTCTGCTCAAAAGTGCATTGTTATATACTACTACAAATAATCTACAAATAAGAACATTTTAAATTATACGACCACTGCTGCAGCGAGATTGCTGAAAGATATGGAAATAATAGTTATTATTATATTACTTAATTGCCTTTAATTTTTATATTCATTTACTGATTAACTCTGTAGTTAGGTGTGTTTTTAAAAAAAATTGTATTGAATAATTGTATAAAAACAAGTATACATACATAGTACATAGGCTCTAAGATAGTTTCGTTGCTTTCAGATCTCGATATTCTGCAAGTTCATATTAGGAGACCCACTGGCATTACTATACCGCACCTATATATATCTATACCTATTTAGCCTATACCTAAAGTGCACTCTAAGAAAAACCGTACCATGTTTTCTAGTTCGTTATGATAGATGAAGTCAAATGATATCTGTTGTGTCATTGCAGAAGTAAGAGAAACCATTGATAATGTTTGATGACAAATGATAATAATTATTTGAATGATCTGCTTGCGTTATTATAATAAAGGGGCTTCAATTTGATCTGATGCTTAACTTCGCCTACCGCCAACTAATCCGAATTTATTTTCTTGTTCTTTCTGATTAGGTGCAGGTGTTCACCATCCTCTTGCTATTCGTGATATCTATATCAGAACGTATCTTCGACCGGAAAACAGTACTCAGTGAGATGCACAAAGTCCTCAACTTGAATTTCATGCGTTCTAACATCGTCGAAGCCCCCCTTTTATAGAAATTAATCAATGAACCAAGAAGTCATATTCATGAGCCTTGAGAGATTTTGCTCGACTACTTTGGAACAAGAATCAATAAATCAGATGAGAGACACTACTTTCTGCCTCATTACTAAAAACATAATAATTAAACAAGTAATATCCTAGTTTGCAATACTAGAATAGCTCAATCTTGATACCAATGGTTTCGCGCGATGACTGAATAGCAGCGACTACGCCAAGATAGGTAATTCACTTACGAAGTTCGTTCGATTGTGCGACGGAAGTCCATTGCGAACTCAACTGAAGTGAATTGAAAAAAGTAGCTGTTTTTGAAAATTACAGGTTTAAGCGAGGCATATTTTTCTTGGAATTTTGTCTATCTAAAAATTACCTTGAATCTCTCGGATTTACCATTTAGGAGAAATTACTTTGTTTCAACACTTCTAAGGGGTTATCCATCTCAGTGTTTTAAAACAGATACCTACCAAAGCTACCCATGTCTACGATGTACGTTACGATAGCTGGGAACTACTATATTTGTTTCTAACTTCGTCGTGGCTCTTAAATGCACGGTTAACGTATCGTCAGCCAGTCGTTTTTCGGCGAACCATTTTCACACGAAGGCTCTGAAGTTCCTAATAGGATCCCAGATTTACAAGAGATTTCAATACAGACCTAATTCACGAGATCGAGTTTATGGTTCCTGTTAACAGAAAGTGTATCTAATATTTATGGTTATCAATAATCGCGATAGATATTTACTCGTATACGACCGATTGGTGTTTATATGTTTTCTCTACCCTTTATTATAGCTGGATATTATTGCCAGGGCAAATAATTTTCTCAAAATGAAGAAAACCATTTATTTGTTTTTGTTATGCCTTAGGTAAGGACGCAAGGATGAAGGTTCACTTCCACTTCCGATACATCCCAAACTCTAGGCAATACAGTGCTAACATTTTCTATCTATTCCAATTACAGAACTAATGTCGACAGAAGCTTAGATCGCAAATACGCTATGTGAACCAACTTGTGAAGTTGCTTTTATTGCCTATTAATCTTAAAAAGAAAGGTAAATTTGATGTCTGTATCACTAAATCAATTTTGGCACGATCCAGAAGTCATGTAGGCTGTTTGCGGTACGTATAGTTCAAATAACAGGAATAAACATAAATAGTAAACGCCGTTAGAAAATATATGATTTAAATAATCTAAATTGCCATTACATGAAAGAATAATGTTTACGCACATATTGAGAAACATATTGAACAGATGCATCCTCGGCAAACAAAGAAGTTCCTCTGAAGGCGTCACTAACGTTTAGTACAAGGGTCTTTTCGGAGAGGATTTAAATCTGGCCCTATAGATTATTTCCGTCTAGCGCATCGTCGAAAATAAAGGTTCGTTGATGAGGTATCTCGTCCTCCCTTATGCCAGCTGTGCGTAACTTAGGCTTGCAATTTAGGTCACATTATGAAAGAGGCCAGATCATAAACGGAAATGCTATTGGTTTGGTTTGTGATCTGGGCTGATACGCAAAAGCTCAGTGCACTTTTCGGAAACCCGTACATCTAAATCACAAAGTTGGTCAGTTCATATCGCTTTGATTTTACTGTATAGAAAGCGCTAAGTAGTGATGTTTTATTTTGTACAGTGGTAACAAGTGATACTATGATATTATTTTAAATTCCGCGCCATTCAGATCGATCGTTCCTCTTTAAGTCGTAGGTAACTTGTAGCAAAGTGTGGGCTTCCTTACTGGCAATAAATCGGTATTACCTACTAACTTGTTCTATTGGACGACGGCAAAAGTAAACATATAGTAGGTAAGATATAAGCTTACAGTCACAAAATTAAATTCATGGTTAGAAAAAAATTAGTTTATTTTTCAAGTATTATTGAATATATGTATCTTGCTGTCCTGCTTTAATAATCCACTGTTGAAACTTCCCAGTAATCTCGCTACTTGGTTTCACTTAGCCTATTCGAACCGTTCTATAGCAATTAATATGTTGTGATACTGGATGTATGCGACTACAGAGGAGGTGACTGATCTTGACTTCAAAATTGCCAATATATTCTTGAACAGCCTGCACTCTACCCCCTTAATCCTTTGTATATCGTCCGATATAATGTGTTTTTGCGTTCTTTTTATTTCTCTAATATAGATTTTTTTTTTCCGGTGCTTCGGGTTTTAGGGTTTGTTCTGCAGAGTTTTTTTTCTCATTAAGAAAAATGGCCTTTTATTTATGTGGTGAGACTTGCAGGCGGTGTTCCTACATCCAGTTTTGGACCGAAGCAAGCGCAAGATTAGCGATTGTCTGAAGGTGGAGCTCCTTACAGGCTTCTATCAGCAGTGTTAAGTTGTTGTCACAGGCAACCATTAGGTCGGCTATAAAGTTTTTACGGATTTTCTACTAAACAGAAAACGCCATATTTTTCGCTGCTATGATAATAAGTTATTATGCTATATGTCTCCTTTATTGTTTATGATTTCCTTCCATTTTTTCACCAAGTGATGTATGCTGTCTCGCCAGAAGGTAACGGATTTCGTCTCAAAAAAGTTTTCCAACTACGTGTTAAGCTTTTAATCCGTGTCGAACATAAGGCCACGAAAATGATTGCCCAGTCAATACAAAATGTGATGCTCCGCTAACGCATGGAAAATATCGAGAGTGCAAGAGGGTCCCCCATTCAGGAGGGCATCTTTGATACTTTTCGTGTGTAATTTTGCGTTATCACGAACCAGGATAGCTCGACTTCGTCTGTCGGATCGCTCTGCTTGACTAGCCTGGTTGACGTGACACAATTGAGTCAAACAAATGTGTTGATCAGTTATCTAATTCGTAGATAATTCCCAGTGAATTAGACCCTTGTAGTCTCCCCGAACGCAAAGTATAATACTTTTTGGATGGATATTTGGTTGGAGCTATTCTTTGGATCTATCTAAAGCCATCCACTGCTATCTTTGGTTCTTGTTGACGTAGAGACACTATTTCTGATCAACGAAGATAAGTTTGTGCAAAAATCTGGCCTTATAGCCGCGTGACGCTCGACACCGAGCGTCATGCAAAATTAAACCGTAATCCCTTGTTAAATTAAATTGTTTATAAAATACCCAAGTTTCAAGTCTCTATGTTAACCCAAGACGTTCGGCTAGAACGAGTGGCACTTTTTAGGTCCCAAATACTGTTTTCAAACTTAACAAGTTACTCTTGACCAGTCCCTTCAATACTAACCTAACATCGTACATAAGGCACGTGTCTCAGGCTGTCTCGGTAGTATTTTGGTCTCGACAAAACGCATAACACAGAAGGTGTCCGAAATGCATTAGTCGCATTATCCCCTTACAATGGCACCGTACATCTATTAGAATGCTCCAGTGCCTTCTCTATTTCTTCCGTCCCAACTTTCCAATTTTAGTACTGGGAAAATATCCAATATAAATCAATATAAACTTTACCGCACCTATATAGAATAAACGTCCAACGGCTTTTTGAGACATTACCTAACTTCCGCCCGAGCTCCTAAACTCAGACATAATGATTTGTCATTATGTTGACGTGATCGACAAAAGCCTGCCCGGCTTTTGCTTGACCCGCGGTCGTGCTGGTGATGCCACATTAGCTCGTTCGTCACGATCCATAAGCCATGTTTTAGGTGAACGGATTGAGACAAAGGGCTTTCGACGGTATTTTCATGTCGTAAAAATGAAAAATAGTTTACTAAAAAGCGTGTATCGTGTTCTATATTACGGACAAAAAAGGAAAAGTACTAAAGGTGATTAAGTAATTCAATAAAAAACCTTGATAAGACAGTGACACGAGTGCATAGAATGCTGTGGAAATTACTTCGAAGTAATCACCGGGATTCTAACGATTAACGTTTATGTAGTTCGTACAGAAGCAAATGATTTTTTTTGCCTACTTTTTGATACTTTCCTAATACAGTAATAAGTAACCCCGCTCTTATTGCGTTCTTGCCACTCGGTGAAACATTTTCCTAATAATCATGGTATATTATAGCGCTATTCTTATTTTCCCATTGCATTTAATCCGTGCTCCAATTCTCACATCGACATACTTAAAAATTCTCTAAAACAAATATATATATATATATAATATATGCAAAATTTAAACTTAGCGAAAGCAATTTTTCATTTAGCTGAAAACCGAAATTAAGCGCAACAATTATAAAGTCTCTAGAAACAAATTTTGTGTCATGCCACTTTTGACATTGAAGTATAAGCGAAAACGTACCCCATAATTGATGAATGAAAGGAACTCGCCGTTGATTATTGTTAGTTATTAATCTTCCTTGCCAAAAAACATTTTGCTTTTCAAGGCTTGCCTGTACCGCTTGGCCAATAGATGGACGCTTCTACTAATAAAGGCGCCATAGATAAACCTATCTTGTCAATGTGAGGGCAGTTGACTGCATTCCGGATTTCTTAGAATTTTCTGAAGCATCGAAGCCACATAGACACTTTGTCCAGCTCTTTATCTCTTAACAACTTCTACAATGTACGGCGCGTGAATTGGGGTTTTCTTCATGCTTTATTTTTAGGACGACACCTAAAGAAAAACAAGTATTTCGAAGAATTTTTATATGTGCACAAGGTGCCATTGCTGACGGTCATGTTATTCAACATAACCGCCATTTATTGCGGTTAGAGCTTCAATTAGAATCCTAAACCGTTCAATAGCGCTCCATATATAACAATCCGAAATCTGATCTATTCAGTGGCCTAAATACACTCGTTTCACAATATGCTCGTATTGTTACGCAGATAATCCGCCTGTAAGGACCAGTGCACCCTCTTGTTGAGAGACATATGCTTTTCCTTTAGATGTCTCAGATATCCACTGCTGCACAGTAGTTCGTAAAATACACAGATACGTTTCTTTAGTGATGCGATCGTTTCTCCGGAAGAAATATGGTAGCATGACGCCTCCATCGCTAGATATTACATTCAGAACAAAACAACAAGCATATCCCAAGCGGGCTAATGATGGTTTTTGCGGTTCATTTTTGCACCAGTAGAAAAAATCTCTCGTAGGCGACCTGCTGTTTCATTGTTGAGACAAGACCGGTCTAATCTCTCGGTTTAATTGTTCTAAGAGTGCGCCTCTTCTGATCTCTACGACATGACGCGTGTACCTGAAATTTTTGCAGACAATCGGTGACATCGTTCACGTCACTAACGTTTTGATCAAAGCAACTGAGTAATTTGAAATGTTCTTTTGGACGGCAGCGATTAACTTTAAAGTCGGCGTTGTTCTTTCGCTGTCTTAGATTTTGCCTTGTGCTGAGGTTTACCTCTGCTTTCTCTGCAGCCGCTCATTCACTTGCGACGCGGTGAATTGTTGACTTCGAGTGACCCCAGAAGCTCATCATTTCTATGAGGATTCGTCGAACGCATAGAGATTGGATAACAGCTGATCCTTACTCAAATTCCAAAAACAACGCATCATTGTTTAGGCTACATGAGCCGTTTAACCAAGAAAAAATCGTCTGGTACTAGGAGTAACGGATGCATTCCCACTATGAAAACAGTCCACTAAAGTTTGTTCTAATTTAGGCGCTGTACCCAGCACATTGTCGTTTTCATGACTCACTTTAACAACTTGAGTCGAAATCATAGGCTAGATTCATTATGTCATTGTGGAACAAATGTCTCGTTACGAAAAAAGTTTTCTTTCCGGTAGCGATCTCATGCAAAGATACACTTTTTTATCACCGTATAACCAAATGTTCAAATAGAAAGCAGTGTTTCAAACGTGTAGATAATATGTGTAGTAAATTGATGAAATTATTCATTGTCTCTTCTGGTAAATAGGCGATGCAAAATATTCATCCATTTATAGTTTGTGGATGTCCGACATAAGACGTTTGTATATTTAAATAAGGTTTTGGCTTGTCGAGTTGATAAGGAATATGGATTTGTAACGTCTCACAGCTTTTCGGGCACGTTTTAGAATGACACAGATTTACATAAATGAGTTTCCTCAAAATACCCTTATTTAGCCGTTCAGAATATGTCCCAACTTGTTTACATCACTACTTTAAGGAACACTTTGACTAACTTTATAGGTATCCTGGTTGTCCAAGCAAATTGACTGTACTGTCAAATCATCACGTGTTGCATCATTATGGAGAATGAATTGGCGGATCTCCTTATCGATGAAAACAGCCGCGACCCTCGATTTGTTGGATATCTTTTTTTTGACTCACCTAAGTACAGCCTGGCCTATATCGAGCCGCGTTTTATGCATTACCGCAGGCCCATACATATAAAGCCACCTGTTCGAATCTTCAACGTCTTTTATATACTTACAAACATCTTTGTTTCGTACAGAATGAACTATCTTGCTTACAAAGTAAATCATATGCCCTAATTTTTGAATCCCTGACTTTTTAGTCGGAATAACATTGAGCTAAAATTTTATCATTCCGAGCATATATTAACAAGAGAAGTATCTCTCTCCTTACTTTGAGAAGGATTTATTTGCTATTTTTGATCAACGGCTCTTTAAAAGACACTTTTTAAAGACAGTTACAATACTTAAATACAAAATAAACGTTTTTTTAATTTAACGAACAGCTATTTAGTCTGAGTAAATTAGTTTCTCGCGTTTTAACTTATCCCTTTTGTATGTTGTATATAAACGGATGCCTCGATTTCAGGCGAGAAAAATCAGTACAGAGCAATTTTTTTCGAATTTAGCGTCTGGCTCAAAGAAAGAGTCTAACCTTACTAGAGCCGATGCACAAGTTGACAAGGAGACCTGAACAACAGGTTTCGAATCATGTGAATTATATGAAATGCATGCCCCTGTTCAGCACTCCATTAGACCGGACCACCTCAGCGGCATCACTTCCGTATTTTGCAGGCAAAACCTCGGGAAGGCGAAATTCTTTTACGAGAAAGCGCTCAATTGTGCTCACAGTGCCTATTTAAATATTATCACATACTATGTGCGCCGTGACCCTGTAAGGAGTACACCTATTAAAAATCAATAAATTTTCCAGATGCTTCCGCTTATTACACGGACCAACTTTTACCTTACTTACTGGAATGCACGGCTTGACCAGCCGAAAATGCTAATCTTACTTTCCTATTTGCCACCTAGGCAGTATAATTGTCAACGGTTGAAAATGGCATAGGCAATTTGGTCATCGGTATCTTTCCCACAGATTCGCCAGGCTGAGTTGAATTTTCAAGCGTACAGACCTCACTGCGCGGAGATAGTGAATGGGAATAAAATATTTATATTCTATGTAAGTGTCACGAAAGCTAAAAATTGCTAACGCTACCCCCAATCGACCGCCTAAATCCGAAACCTTTTAATAATTTCCAGCTATTTCTATTTCCCAATTTTTGACGCAACTCATGTAAGATAATGCGTCTCAAAGCTTAGGAACAGGAGGATCTTTTCGGTGGTGCACCCCCAACACCGTCACACCGTAGTTCAACAATACCTGCAGAACCGTGAGACGCAAGTATGGAAAGGAGGGTGCTAGGATCATATTGGCCTCCGCTGCATTCAATCCAGATGTCCTCAAGGACTTTCTGGCAAACTTTAATTTATGTGTGAAAAATCTATTTCAAGGATCAAGAGGAACGAGTGTGAAAGACGACACATTTATAGCTCCATTGTTGACAACGGCAAAGCCACGTTTTTGGATATAAGAAGCACCTTTTTTCAACACTTCAAATAATCTAACGAAGACGCCATTCGCCGCAATGATGTGTTTTAGTCAGCACTCGAGCTATGAGACGCGCTTAGTTGAGACATTTTGAGATACAGAAGGTAGCGATTGTCGCTGACAGTCTCTGGCGTATCAAAGCTTCCGGTCGCGATTCAATCTGCAATAAGTATCGATCATGCTAAACAGCCTTCCTTAATGTTTGTCTAAGAAATAGCCATGTTTCTTCGCAGTGACGAAAGGCGCTACTATCTGTGATACTTATGAATAAAGGCAACCCGAAGGAGTCCTCCACCTAAAGGGCCAGTTGCTTATCCCAATTGCAGCAACCTACCTCTCGTAACATGTCATGCTTGTATCATTTCAAAAACAGCAGTCTTCTCTAGCGCGGCTTTCCATGTGTTTTTCTATTCACACCTTCTTTTAACATATTTGGCGTTCCCTTAGCAATCCGCATTAGTAACTGCATATAGAATTTGTCAACAAGTGTTTTTTTCTAGAGTGCATAAAAACGTAGTGGATCTACTTCAGTAAATTCATTAAAATCATTCTGGGCGTTGGTTCGACCTTCCTAGTAAAGGGTAGCTTCTAACGATAGCGTAAACCCACTTCTGGTTTTAGTAGTGTCTCAATGGTCATTAGCAAAAAGATTATGAAACGACATCCGCTAATAAGACTTTTTTTGTAACTTACTACAAGCCTGCATCATCTTCAGCTGGCATTGATAATTTTCGAGATATGAATACAACAAGGTAAATTCGGGTGCAAGGTAAATTCGGATTTGTAAAGATGCTAGAAATCAAAACTATGAAATACGCCCCGAGTATCTCCAAGCTGCAAAAAAGTAATCCAATACAGGGTAGACGAAATGTGGCCTTTTTAATTATCCTTTAAATCTAAGACATTATTAAAACAAAAACAAAGATTTTTACAAAATTTTTTTTCATGTAGTCAAAATGCCACTCCTGGCAGCCATGATTAATCAGTATAGCAATTATTCGCCATTATGAGATCTTCAACTTAGAATCTTATCAATTAATTAGTTATTTTCAGGACAGTCTTTCCTTAATTCGTAATTAACTTTTTAACTTTAACTTTTTTTTAACTTTTTAACTTTAAAATATTGCTTCCTATAAAAAAAAATCCCAGCGGAATTAAATGTTGAGCTAACGGCAGACCAAAAGCCGCAAAAATACAAAAATTCAAAACGACCGAAAGCCTCAAAATTGCAAAAAGTATCAGAATGATTCATGCTCAAAGCTAATCTAGAGGATTTAATTGGAAATTTGAATTTTTGTCTTTTAAACGGCACCTAATTTTTGTGCAAAAAATCCAGAATTAGCAGAAATTGATTTTCAGGTATTTGAATGAGATTTCGTATCTTTTAGATCTCCCTTTCGATCTTCAGGAATTATTTTCTGTTTTTTTGGATGCCGCGCGGAAGTTAGCAAAGACATAGACAGTCGATTTTAGGCGATAAGATGTTTATTCTGACGAAGGCTTGTCGAAGGTATTGTATTATATCTGCTCTTTATCCAAATTTCAAAAATGAACTCCTTGCTCCTACTATGATAAATTTTTGTTTTAGAAGCAACTAGTTTTCTTCTAGTGTCAGCTATAGCAAATTGAGAGATCTCCACTATGACAAACAAGACTATACGTCAATGTTTTTACTAACCTAAGAGGGATGTTAACATCAAATGAACGACCATTTAGTGAATACATTACCAAGAATGCAGAAGAATCTGCTGGCCGTAGCAATAAAAGACCTATGTAAGTCTTTAATAACAGCAATGCTTGCCCATGTTGACTTGAAGGTTGCTGCTTATGAGCCAATGGGTTACCATTTGTATAGGAACACCTCACAGAAAATCAACTAGGCGAGCTCGATCGTGTAAAGTCAGCCCATCTTAAACGCATCGTGGTCCTCCAGCGGGACACCGGAATTTTTATTTACTTGGTAAAAGACCGCTATATATTGAGGAAGCGAGTCGACGATCTGATCTAAAAGGGACGGAAGCCTATTGAAATGGCCTTTATGAGGTATCGTGTATACCATGCGAAACTCGCAATATCATTTAGCTTCTATTACAGAAGTTTCTACGTTATGTTCCATGCATATGTATGCGTTATTTACTAAAAATAAACGGGTTGAATAGAAGATAGCTATATAAGTACGTATATTACCTTCGTTAGGGGCATTTAGATGTGCTATTCCACGCATTTGAGTAACGCGAAGATTGATAGTTAAAAAGTAGATTTATTGACTAAAAAACTTAATGATAAAAATTGACTAAAAAAGATTATACAATCTTTTTTTAGTTCTACTCTCCGATTGCGTGCTGGCAGTTGCATTTCTCAATCATCTGTGCACCACCGAGCATCGAAACGAATGTTGATTTACCTCGACTATGCAAGACTGGTTACCACTCTTTTTATGTGCAGTTATATTGGTACGACGTTTTTCGTGTTAGCCAAGCAGCAGTCACATGTCATACCTTTGCATGTATATCATCACCTCACCGTATGCTTTAATGCCTGGTTGTACCTACGACAGGGTAAGATTATTGTGTGTCGAGTAGTACTTTTTCTATTTCATTCAGAGTCAGCCGTACCACTCAATGCTGTAATGATAGAAAAAGGTAACAATTATTTATGAGAATGCAGATTTGAAAACCCCGTCCAAGAATACTTGACCAATAATCATCTAGATAGACCAATGTGGATGGATTTCGCAATCTATACTTGCTTTATTCGCAGATAGGTTTTAGATTAAAAGCGACACAAACGTAATTAGTTAGTGTGAAACACGGAACAAGACGATGGACTCTTTGTGGTCTATGCAATAGCTAAACGGATTCCTCCAACGTTTGCTATTTCAGATTGGATAAATATACTTATTTCCGGTACCCTTATCAGTATGTCAATTCACATAATAATGTATAGTTACTTCCTACTGGCAGCTTTTCCCTCGATGCGTCCTTACCTATGGTGGAAAAAATACTTGATACTTCTACATATAGTCCAGATCGTTGCAATTATTCTACAATTGGTCTCTATGTACTCATGAGGTGACCGTTGCGGCCGCCCCAAGGGAGTTCTTATAAATGGTCAGTATGTGCTGTAAGCATAGTTGCTCATACTAAATACAGGTCATGAAGCAATATTACACTTTATGCCAATACCGCATTACTGCAAAAGCTTCATTTATGTGGTCAAAAATGTAAATCTATTGCCTTTGCCCGGTTATGAGCGACATGTTCTTATATATATGTACTTGACTTGGGCATTTATTTCACTAAATATGCAGCATTACCCAATAAAGAACATAAGCCTTACTGACATGCAGGGGCCAAAAATAATGGCTATAGATTATTAACTATTTCAAATTTATTTTTTGATCGGTCGCTGACAGAGAAACCTAAAAGACCTGGTTCCTTATCATTCATCACTTTTTGGTGAAGCGCAAAAACACTACCGACTTCATACATGCTCAATATTTGAGTTCGTCTTCCATTAACTAACCCAAATCCACTTTCTTGTCTTTTTTTGATCAGGATTAGTGAATATATTTGTCATCTCCTCACTATTCGCGGTATTTTATATTAAAACATATCTTCGACCGGATGAGAAGCCTATCAAGGTTCAGTAAAATGCCAGCAGTTCTTAATTATAGATATATATATACAAAATATATTGATGGATGAAGAAACAACTTATTTATGCGAATAAATCTTGAGATATTTTGCTTAACCATTCTAGATAATGATATGATCCCAAACACAATAACCGAAGACTTGATACTGGTACAGGTACTGCTTTTTGTTTGGTTACTGATAAATTGTAGCCAAGTGAACAATAAAATATATAGTTCACTCTTAGTATCAATGACTCTATCCAGTTACTGATTGCAAGGAATGCAACGAGAAGCCTAGTTCGATCAGACAAGTCACCAAAGATTCTTTTAAACAAATTTGAACAGAAAACTCTTTCTGTTTGTGAACATTATATGGTGACATGAAGCATATCCTCTCAGCTGTTTAAAAATGTTCTTAAAGCCACTTGGTTTGCTTCAGTGCTGAGATAAGGTACGGCTTTTCAAGCCGTACCTTATCTCAGCACTGAAGGAAGCTTGTTCGAAGCGAGTGCCACTGAATGAGACGGTCCATGTCTAATGTACACTGTACGATCGTTTGAAATCGTTGTATTAACATTTCTGTCAGCTTCTAACTTCATGGTGGGACTTAAGTAAAAGGTTTAAGTTAGCGTTTCATGAGTCAATAGCTTTCCTGTTGTGCATATTTGTGACAGAACTGTCACAAGAGATTTTATATTTCCAATACAGATCTAAACCCTCTAAGTACAGTGAAGTTCAGTCCATCTTATCTTACTTCAATGTCGTTGGTAAACGACCATCAAACAACGTGCGGATATAATTTATAAGTTGGCAAACTTTGATACGCATTGATTTGTTAAATAAAAAAAAAAGGATCTAACCAGTAATCAACTGATGCAAACGACTACATGGTCAAACATGTTCGAAATTTGAGTACAGAGAACCCCCTTTTTCAAAAATGGTTATGGGTGATCAAAGCTAAATAATCCTTAGTAACTTTACCTAAAGCAGATTACAGTCAACGCGTGGTAGTATAATTTAAATGAGAGCTAAAACCGTATCTCATTTAAAAAAAGTAATGCTGTGTGTTTGGTGGAACCGTAAGGAATACTCTCTTGTGAGCAAACAACAGAACCGTTAGCTAAGTATTACTAATAGCCCGACCGTTCCGAAAACCACCCAGTTATCGTATATGAAAGAGAAGTGATATTTCATTATGATAACATCCGGCTTTACAAAATTTTATTGACTTGCGAAACATTGTCCAGCTTTCGTGTTTCGTTTCACTTAGCTTACAATCCTGGTTATCGCTGCTTCCGACTGCCACCTGTTCCGATCCTTGCAAAATATCCTTAATAGACGACATTTACCATCTATATTTTAACTGTGAAAACATGCTGAACAGTTTACCGCAAATATAGTGATATTTATAAAAATGAATTTGCCTGAAAGATAAACTAGGTACATCGTTAATAACCGGCAGTGCATTATTGACTGAAGATCAGACGAAAAATTGTTTTGATACAAAATTATATGAACCTCCAGTGTAAACTAATGGCACAACGCAATGTCTTTCTACTATTTAATATTCTGATAGACAAATAGTTTCCTGAATATCGAATACTAGAATCAAGCGTTGATGCTTGACAATTCAGAGAATTCATAAGAGCACTCTTTCATTAGTCATACTGTCGTTCGTAGCGCTGACAACAATTTAGGGTTGTCCATTACAAAAAGTTGAAATGACTTTATCGTCAACGATTGCGCGTACTAACATCATAGAGCGTTCATCATTAATTACAGATGAATATGACAATCAAGTCATTATTCAGTCTTATTACATTAAGGACAATTCACGAAGCCTATACGTATATGTTTTCGGTTTATTTTTTGAAATGTTTGTTTATTATAGCTAAAACATAATAACAGCTCACAGGGAGCCACGTCCTTGCACGAATAGATATTCGAAAGCACATATAGCATCCATCAGCTGACGATGGCACCGAAACAAGAAAACCAACCTCGGTAATAAAACTAATGTTGAAACGGCTTTAGAGCTTAAACAGGCCGTGTTTAGCTGACTCCTCGCGAATCTGAAATTGTGCATCAAATAATTCAATTGTCCATCAAACAAACGAATGAAAGCAGCCTTCACCTTATACATGGAAGAAACATTTTGTTTTTTACGAATACTGAAACATTTTAGATCAGACACATTTAGAGATCGTCTAAAATTTGTACTACATTCATCAAAAAAAAAGAGACTTAACCTAAGTAAAAACGTTCCAAGTGCGCTTCCAGTGGTTACCAATAAATAAAACAATGACCTCGTTTCTGTTTAGAAAACAAAGCGGATTGATATATAATGAAAATCTAGTTACCTCTTTCGGCGCCTCGTCTAACGAGACGGCCTTTTTGAATTCCCTCGCTGCGATTGGATCTATCGGCTTTGGACGTTGTGTTTCATGCACTCGAGGCGCAGAAAAGTAGCCAAGATGGGGCCTTTCAATGCCCAGATTATCAAATACACACTTGTCCATGATTGCTTCCGTTTTGCGACAGCTTAAAATGAGAACAATAAAAAAAATGCATATAAGAAACGAATGGTTTAGTTACGATTACACTTCTACAAAAGCACATGTTTCCAATATTACGTGTATAGCCTACATTGTGTATGTACCCCTGCCGTAATACCAACTTCACAACTACGCTAGAATGCTAGAATCCTCTGCATCAGTATAGCGGCGTGTACCTAATGTTATAGTAGAAGCTTTAAACCATTCAACAAAACGACAATATATGCTACACCTCTAATTCATCCTTAGTGATCGGAAGTTATTCGGATTATAGATTCGGACATAAGTATTATATCGGATACATAATATATCAGAGTATACTATAACAGATTATATAGTAACAATGCATACGTCGTGCATGAGCGCAAATATGCTTTCCTGAGAAATAAAGTGCCTGGTTAGAGCTAAAGTGGGCAAAACATACAAAGGCTTGCGCAATGTAGTCGTACCAGAAAGCCATAAGATGGACTAGAACTTTTAGCACATAGTTATTAATCGATTAATGGTAGGTGGCTTAATTCTATGGTTGAATAGTAACAATGAAAACTTCTTTTTCGCACAAGCTACATAGTATATATTGTTCGCGGAACCTAACGCTGCGATTTCTCTTTTGTCTCTACGTCAGCATGTTACGTAACCCATTAACAGCACCAGTATTACATTAACTTAGATTTAACGTTGACTGTGTGCATGAATATATCTTCCGTGTTCATATTTGGAACGATTTTCGTTGATCCCTATAGTAAGCGTAGTATTGCAAACACCAAAATCTACATGATATATATGTATCGTATGATAGATAAGCAAAAGCATAAGAAGTAGCATCAGACTGTTATTACTTACAATCGGGGGTGCATATCGTAGGAGCGCCATTCCAAACAGTTAGCGTGCTCCTTCACCTGAAACAATTATATACATACGTAGCATCGCATCATTATTGTATGTGTAATTTTGTCTATTATAGCACTGACAGATCTAGATTAGTCAGTCGTGAGTATAATAGAAAGACATGTAAGTAAGTAAATCACTCGAGTAAAGGAATCAACCCTCGTCTATAATAAAGTTTGTAGAAAAATCTAGAGTGGTAAATAAAGTCTAACTAGGAACATTGATAAGGTTTTAAAACCCTGTCAAACAAGTCCCATTGCTCGGATTAAAAGCAATTATTAGACTTAATTCTAGATTATTGAGTGTAACATTGAATTGCAAAATCGTTGGCTACAAGTGTCCCATCTACAGCTTCTGCAACTGCACTTTTGCATTCGAAACAAGGATCTGCGGTCTTCCTAATGTGTTTCACCACCTAGCTCTTGTAAATCTTTTATCTATACTTCCATAGGGGTTATGCTTGAATTGTATGGACACTAATAATCAACGTTCTACCATAGTATATCTCTTCGCCTAATGTGTATTTTCTGACCTCTTGAGCGCAGTGCTTCTTTAGTTGCTGAAGAAACCTTAATCCACAGGCAGTAACTGCACGACCTTCAGCGAGACACTTCCGCGGATCCACGGTCTCCAGACGACACAGCATGAACTCCTAAAGCAGCATACAGAGGACGAGCTAGCTGTTGTTATTTAAACTATTGTAGCTAAAAAAACTATAACATTTTTATTTAAGTAGTGTCCCCAGTGAGCGTAGTACTGCTCTTCGTTGTATGTAGATCTACACAACCATTACCGGCTTAAATAACGCAATATAACTGCTAGGCCGCATAAATTGTACCTTACAGCCAACAGCATTGTATGTGATTGTGGCCTCTTCTTATATGAACGAATTAGAAAATTAAGGAGTATCTAGTCTTTAACGTTTCAAACAAGTTATATAAAACGTAATATTTGCACTTCGCGTTTAAGGAGAGCCTTTGTAATTAGTAAAAATATGCATGATAAGAATTTTTAAAAATTTTTATTCGTCGTCTAGCCGATCTTCAACGCTTTGTGCCCGAATGTATATTTTCGTTACGACAAAATCCGTGGTGTTTTATTTGTTTTTGAAGGCCATGTTTTATTGTCTAAAGGTTTTAATTAGTTCACCGGCATTTTCGTTTGCTGTAAATTCAAATAACAATATTATGCAGCACTAATGTTAACCTGTTCGACAATAACTGAATCAGCCCCGCGTTGTAGGATTAGCCAGTACTCCTAACTAATCAACTTAAACTTTTACAGATGCCTGTACAAAAAGCTCACAAGCAAATATCTATTCTAAATACTTTTTAATTAGGTTAACCGAGGCTACTGCTGTCTACATTTATGTGTAGGAACAAGAGCACGAGTGGTACTGTTTCGAAATGATTACAATTGTTGAAGAACTCATTTTCCGCCAACTAACCTTGCTAAGTTCATCGCATGCGCGACCCAGCAACTGCCCTGTCGCATGAAGTGTTGGTGCTCCGACTTTAATCTCATCAACGGTAAGCTCCTCGTCATTGGGAAATTTGTAGTCCTTTGTGTACACCATTTTTTTTTTACACAAAAGCAACTAATAAGAATCACCAACAACGCACAGATTGTGAACTACAGCAGATGTATATATATTGATATTACCTCTAACTACCAATACTTGCCCTACAGCTGTGAGTCAAATTATCGTCTGCTGTAGTGTTTATCAATATTACATTCTCGGGTCAAGCCAAACAAAACTACGCCAGTTAATCGCTCTATGTTAACATAGCAGTACTCGGATGTCGTCCAGAGTTCTAGCTTATCAAACTATACTTAGAACGCGCCTATAAGACACTGCAACGATGGTACAGCTATAAACTCAGCCATTTGATCTTGAACAACTCTGGGTCAAATATAGAGATAGTGCGCTTTGGGAAAGTACAATTGAGCGAGGGCTAGCGGTCAAAACAGAATTCCCAGTTGGCAAAAAGAACACTCCAAAGTAGATATTCAATTTGTGAACAAAAGAGGACCAGATAAGTTTATTCTATAGAGCGGGAAAATTACCCTTTCTTAAAATGGTGTTGGATTATGTCAGATTTTAACTCGTCGTCATAATCTTAGTGTTTGACTACATATAAAGGCCTGTAGGAATTGAAAGTGGAATTTCTCGGTAAGTTCAGAATGTTTGTTGTCGATATGGTATATAATTCCATCAATATAATAGGAAAGACCTATATGCGTTGATCGACGTCTTCTCCACGAAACAGGCATTTGCATCATTAGATAGAGCTCATTGCTCCTATTAGAACATTAGATTACACCTTTGCTTAATCATGATAACCCATTGTAGATATAGGTTGAAGCAAAATGACCCGTCAATCACCGAAATAAATAAGTGCTACGGCAACACACGGGCAAATGGATGGCACAAAATATATGATCTCCTTTATTGCATGTTTTATAATTTATGAAATTCACTGAAGCTTCGACTACAGTGGCCCATGCAATAAAGTTAGTCTCATCATGCGATGGTTAGCGAGGTTTGCCGCCTATTACGTGACCACTTCAACTACTTATATTAATGAAACAGTTGCGGACGCAATATCTGCAATAAAGAAATCTTTGCGTTCTTACTGATAACTTTGCAAACAACCAATTAGGAAGTAGTTACTGTAGAGACTAGCTTTATTATCGTACATAAATGTTTGAAAAAGCGCAATTTTTTTAGAGAAAATACTTTTTAGTAGTATATCAGATGCACACTGAGTATGTGTAACGAGGGTCTTCTACGAATGCATGCTCGTTCACTAAACCGCCTAACGCATTTTACTTGTTTCTCGAAGTACTGTCATAATGTTACCTAAAATCAAACCTATTGTTGCACTTGTTATTTCTATTGGTATTGCTGCCTTTCATCTAAGATGTCGTTGGAAAGCGGTCGGTCTATTGAGGCGGAGCAGTTGACCTGCGTCGAGGCCATCGGGCGAACAACCTTGTACGCGATCTCTACAGCCGCCATCACCGTTTGTGTGGTGAATAACGGCCGACAGGTATATGGGAATGGCGACGAAGGATGGGCCTACGCCGCATTACGTTTTTAAATCAAACTAATTTTAGTTCAGTGGACAGTTTTTGGACGACATGTTGTCGTTTAAACTGTTCACACACACTCAGCCCTACAACTTGCAAAATAATGTAGTACCCAGCTTAGCAGCTATATGTCGATTGCGTTTCCGCTGTAGTAGTAGTAGATGAAAGGATAACAAGGCTGGTATGAAAAGTCAGTTTCGTTTATATCGTGTATTGAAATTTGGACATTCGCGCATAACATTTTCAGGACCATCTTTTTCACAAAAACAGAAAATTTTTATAGTAAGTAGATCATGTACAAGTCACAAATCTATTGGCAATATGTTTCTTTAAGGTGAATAAAGGGCATAGAAATGTAAAAACGAAGAACTAATTTTAAGCCTATTTAAGATGCTTTTGCACGAAATATGACCGGCTTGACCTGATATAAAAGAGAAATGTCTTCTAGAACACGGAAAAAAATGCTACCTACAGTCCAGCAATGGCGGAAAACCCTCTAGCATAGGATGCGTGGCTTCGAGGCTGAATGCACGTGCTTCATAACTCCTGTGGCAGTGTCCTAAGACTCTGAAAAGCCGAAAGTTGGAAGATACTGCTAGCCGAAATTTTCCTGTAGTGAAGCCGACGAACCTGTTCCTAACTTCAACAAAGTTAAGAGGGTAGAATTGTTAAACTCCTAAGAAGTCAACCAAAAAAAAAGGAAAACAGTTTTTATTTTCATTATTAACACCTACCTACCCCTAACAGTGTTCATTGAGTGCTTAGTCTTGCACCGTAATTTGAAAGTGTTACGGCATAAAAAATTTGAATATCATTAAGACGTTTGCCGAATGTTGTAGTTTTCTAGGCCATTGTATTCAGTACAATGTAGGTATATGACGCTTACATACACATACTAGACTGACATAAGCCAATTTCGCGAACTTTGAAATCGAATAGCTTTTGAACCATTATCAATTCTGCTGGTAAATATTCCAGTCTTCCAAATACTTGGTCGATTTCTGTTCAAAAAGAAAACCATCTTTTAGTCTTGAAAATCAGCGCTCGGTGGTCAAGATTTTGCCTCTCGAAGACCACAACGCTGCGAAACTTCATTGAAAACTGATATAGATATTAGGCAAGAAGGCCTTAAACGACAACAATACGTATATGGTGCAAACGTTTTAAAAACGAAGATTGGAGTGTTGAAAGACAACGAGTGATCAGACGCCGGGATCCGAAGGACAAGAACGTATAGCAATCGAGGAGGATTTCACGAACGCAAAGTTTCCAGTCTAAGGTCTCTGTCGGTTAAAACTGGCATTTCACTTGAAGCGTATTACAAAATTATGGGTTCTTCGTGAATTGACTCTCGAAATACGTGTAGTGCCTTCCGTGTGCATTTCACGGAATTTCAATTAGCGAAAACCCGTCTGGAGCATATAATCGCCATGTACCAGACATAATTTAATATCTATTGCCAGCCGAAGAAGGACCACGCAATACAATAACGTTGCTTGGGAAAGAATTCGAGTTCAGTGATAGTGTCAAGCGGGTTCAACGTAAGGGTCAAGAGACTCATGGATTGTTGGCATGGCAATCGAAAACATGCAACCTGGGTACTCAATGACAACGTCAGACCGCATCGAGGTTCTTAAATTGCTTCCCAGATGAACACAAGAATACCCAATGTTGGCTTTGATCTATTTCCCAATATTAGCCCATGTGATTATGGGACCTTCCATATTCTAAAAGGCCCAGTGGGAGATAAGTGTACCCCATTATTGGTTTACTTAGAGAAGTCATACATAGAGCAATTCTATATATGATGCGAACGATAGGTTTGTGGCTCCCCATAAGCTACCAGAGCGCTGAGGCAAGTGTGCAGAAAATAACAAGGACTAGTCGAAGAAGTTCAAAAGTTAATCGACCTCGAAGCTCGGCGGATTCGCTTGTAACAACCTAACATATTTTACCCATTATCGGTTATGTAAAATATAGTAGAAGTTTGAATTGGATCAGAAAAACTGCGTTTTCTATCTTTTTTTTGCAGATACTTAAACTTCCACGTGGCGGATGGGTCCTTCCAACGGGTTGCGCCTTGATCGCTGCAGCCTTTGTGGCTAAATGGAAAATGAATAGTTATGTAGAGATTCTCCGACAGCAAAAAGCCGCCCGCCTCCTAACCAAATAACAGATCTGAATATAAGCCTATCTTTATTCGATATTAATCCAATCTTAGTATTTAGAACTATTTGGCACGTCATTTTCCTCCCGCATCGAGCCAGAATAGCGAAAACTATTGTATGAATAAAAGATTTTTTTTGGATCTTTTTCTTGAACGTGATTACGAAACGTTCGCCAGATAGTGAGGGTTAGATAGAAAACCTTCTGCATCAAGTTGTAATTAGCCTTGAATAAGTATAACTCACTATGAAGTTGACGCGGTTACCTTCAAGATGGACGTTCAGGCCCACGGCCTTGATATTAGTGCCGTGTGGCCTCTTGTTCGGTATGTTACCCGTAGTTGCCGAAACCTCTTCAAATGAATTCGTTGGGGGCAATTCGCCAATCGAAGCCCGGGCTACTTCGTTCTTCGCAAAAGGACACACGAATAACTGGGCAGTGCTCGTATGCACTTCCCGGTTCTGGTTTAATTATAGACACGTGGCCAATGTGCTATCAATCTATCGAAGCGTCAAGCGTCTTGGTATTCCTGACTCACGTATCATATTAATGTTAGGTGAGCTCGTAAATGAACAATTTGAAACTTGGAAACAGAGTTATATATTTGGCATGTTACTTGTGCAGTGATTTTTACAAATTTAAACGCACATACATTACTCCATAGTAATAACATATATTAACCGTTTTTTTTGGGAGGTATGAGGTCTTAGATAGAGGTGATCTTTATTTCGTTCAGGTATCTGCTTAGCGTTGTTTGGTGTTGAAAAGGCCAACAACTTCAACTAGAAATTTGTCGTTGTAATTTTGTCGTCTGCTTTTGGCCTTTAGCCGATGACATGGCGTGCAATTCTCGTAATCCCACACCTGCAACAATTTTTAACCATCGACAACAGCATATGAACGTGTATGGAGATGATGTTGAGGTCGACTATAGAAACTATGACGTAACAGTGGAGAGCTTCATTCGACTGCTCACCGGACGGGTGCCGGAAAACACACCAACTGCTAAGCGACTTCTCACGGATGAGGTTTGTTGCCGAAAATATATTTATAAGTCATCGTTGATACGCTCATGGAAGCTATCAGGCTGAGATTATACTCTATCTTTACGATTGTTATACCAAGGTAGGCTTACCCATGCTCCATAAAGCAGATTTTTGTTCGGTTTCTGATATCAACGTATATTTCTCATAGTGGTAGCTTCTGTGTATGAAGTTTTTAACATCCTCTCCTAGTGAATATTAAGGTCCGATTCAAGCTTCCACTGTTTTATATTCTTTTCTAGTTATTAAAACCTTTGAATAATTTCTAAGCGAGTAAATGTTAATCAATATAAGCCATTAATTTTAATTGAGAATCTGTATACCAGACGCTAAGTAGTCTTTCTCTTCTTGAATTTTCGTAACTTATTTATTAATAAGAAAGGTTTGCATGAGTGACTTGATCGACTTGACAGTTAACCGATTTGTCTGTTCAAAGGACGGCTCCTAAGTAAAGGCCAGGCCAATATACATATATACCTCAATTTAGTATCCAACGTCGGAAAGTCTCCTTAGGAAGAGTGAACACATTTATGCCAATCTTAAAATCAATGTAGTATAATTATTCTGTTAACTAAGGGGGTTTTGTTTTTAAATGCATTATAGTGTTTTTGTAACGCTTACAGCATTCCAACATACTAGTATATATGACGGGGCACGGCGGTGAAGGGTTCCTAAAGTTTCAAGATAGTAAGGAATTGACGAGCGTTGAGTTGGCGGATGCCTTTGAGCAAATGTGGCAGATGCGCAGATATCACGAGGTAGGACCCACGATTTGCCCTTTCTTTTAGTAGGTGGGCACGATAATTAGATATAACCAAACATAAAATTTAAATTTCCATACGTCTAATATTCTCATCTATATCCATATTTATAATGTGAATTGCGAGAAGATCAATTTATTTGAAGTTAATCTCCATCGTAAAAGGCAATGGGACTCTTCACAAAGCAAATCTTCTTATGCTAACAAAGAATATTACGGTGAGGTTAACGAAGCTGAACAAATTCTTGTACAAGATATTCTTTCCTGTTATGTCCTCTGCTGGGACAAATTGTTGAATGCCATGCCTCTCTCTTTTTGGTTTTTAACTTTGTGTACTGTTTGCTCAATTTTCCTAAATTAGATTCTATTCATTGTGGATTCGTGTCATTCGGAGTCGATGTTCCTACCTTTCTATTCGCCCAACATTTTGGCTGTCTCATCGTCACGTGTTGACGAGGATAGTCTGTCGCATCATGGTGATCCCCGTATTGGTGTCTACGTTATTGATCGATACACCTACTACGTCCTCCAGTTTCTTGAACGAATCAGTCCGGACAGTTCAGCTACTATCGATGACTTCTTTAAGGTAGGTTTTAGCAATCTGCTATGTAGCTATTAACTATACCATACTCCAAGTTGAAAATTCAACCTTTAGCTACATGAATAAAATATTGCAAATATTTTAAGCATTTTTAACACTTTCTGCTGAGTTGGCTGCACCTACCCAGTTTCTTTCTGAAAGGATATACCATTTCAAATACTAGAGCAAGCTTCTTCGTCGAAGTTCCTATTTTTTTTTCTTACATAGACTTTTTTCATAGAGGTCGTATAGTATGAAAGAAGATGCTACGATAGGTACATAATAAAATTAAGAATAAATCAAGGAGAGATTGACTCGAAGATCAGACACGTACAGCCTGGAAATCAAGCCCATTATTATTTTTTTACTATGACGTTTGTATTATTACAATCTATAATATAACTATTAATAATAACTATAATATAACTATTATATTATTTTTATATATATTATATATTATATAGAACAGTGTACACGAAATTAGTCTACTCGTGCAATAAACAATACCGTTTGTAAATAATTAGGGCACTATAAAAAATTTCGTTCTTAAGCGATAAAAGATTTCGTGCATGATACTTTTAAATGCAGTTCTCCTGATTATAAGAATGATAAAATATCTATTTATTTATCAGTATTATATTTGTTTCGTATTGTAATGTTACAAGTTATAGTTACTTTTTACTTCATATATTTCTACTAAAAAGACACGTTAATTTTCAACAAACACCGAACTAAATTTCTCACTTTGGCTAAAGTGAATATCTCTGCGTTCCTTTTGTTCGAATGTTATAAAAAATCTTGATATTTTCTAAAATCTAATACAATATGGTTAAATGCAAGTATGAAACGAATACATTTGATCGTTCGCTGAAACGGGCATTAAAGTTGATTTGAGTAAATCTTGGCCACATAATAGAAACTCACAAAATCGCCTAATTAGAGATTCTTACATTTTTTTTTTATTTTATATTTTTAATTTATACCAGGTGTGCCCAAAGAGTCAGTGCCTTTCGACAGTTGCGACTCGTAAGAATCTCTTCCGTCGCGAAATTAAAGAAACACCATTAGTCGACTTCTTCAGTGGTGTAAGAAACATTGAGTTAACCAGGGATCTTATCGAATTGCCTGAAGTCTCATTGAACATCTAAATGCTAAAGGGCCAGACTGTATGTGAACGTCATATCGCGGAACCTTCATTTCATTTACTCCAGTGGCCCCATATAAGCAGGAATGTGCTGAGCATAAACAGTTGTATATTCAATAAATAATAAAAATAAAAAGCGATGAATATTTTATCGACGAGGGTTGCTTTAGACAAATGTGTTTGTTACATAATAGTGTGCAGTTACGTGAAATATTGAAATAGTATGCAATTAGTTGGCGAAGTTTTGGATCATAAGGGACACAATGTATTAGCAATGTTAAATAATTGGCCAAGGCTAAGATAAACTGAAAAGTCTAACAGAGAGGCCGCAAGATGTTAATAAGTGTAAGCTATTAAACGGGAAATTTCGGAAAGAGATTTACAAGAGCAAAAATAATCACTGGGAACTGTTCTATGCAAAACTGGAGTCGAAACGGTCGGAAAACGAGTATCGTATCATGCGGGATAAGATAGAACGTGTACAGCCATCACTTCCAGCAGAGGAAATACAAAGACTCATAGCCACACTGTTTCTCGACAGATTTGCTCCCGCCCAGTTGTTTTTGAGGCGTATATGAGTTTCGACTTTCCTCTAATGGCCATCGGCTAGGTGAAAAGCATGAATAAAATCAGCAGAAGGATTAAATCATGAACGTATAAGGCCCTAACGCAGTCCCTACAGAGGCCGTGCTATTGTTAATCAGGGACCGCACCTAAACCATCTAGCGGATGGTAGCTGAAATGCTTCTGGTAAGCAAATTGCTTACAATCTAAAAAATTGCACGTTCTGCGTAGTCTGAAAACACAAGATCTAAGGGATTCACCGGGGTTTCGTTGGCTTACTGACTAATAAGCATGATGCCCATGCTGGCAAAAGCCGCAGAATACATAATTGCAAGCTAGGAGGGAATACGACGCCATGAACGCATTCTCAAGCGATCAGTACGATTTTGGAAAAGATTACGCACACTACTATCAAAAAGGTTCTGAAGATCAGTGACTGAATGGCACACGACGCGTCCATTTCGTCGCAAAACGGGCGGCCCTGGCTGCTACCGACCTTCGGAGTTTGCTTTTAACAAGCTTAAAAAGCCTTAGACAGAAGAAGACACCTTCTGGAGTTTGTGGTGGGTAGCATCCCCATACGCCAATCCGATACTGGGAAAGACAACTATAAATAAGTTGACTCATAAGCTTCTGGATAGAATGCAGGGCATTATAGCCCCCAGCATTTTACGAGAAAACCGTACCGCAGCTACGTATTCGCATTGAGTCTAGAGCATAAAATCCTGCGGGACCTTAGAGTTATCGAGCTATTGAAAATGCAAACGAACCCAATCACGCCAAGGAAAATTGCCTGCGACAAAACCGGAGAGAAATAATCGCAACGGTAGACCTCGATCTAATCAAGAGAACTCGAAGTTTAAGCGAGATCCCTAATTTCTAATTTAGGCGAATGGTCCGGATGGGGGGGGGAGTATTAGCCTACTCCCTAATTCAGTTGCTTACTTAAAAAGGTACTTAATAAATATAAAAAAAAAGGTTTCATTATGAAAAAATTGGGACTAGGTAAAATGTTTACTAGATAAAAAGCGAAATTTTTTACCGTTTTTATTCATTCTAGTGTAATAGGTGAAACCGGCGAAGAGAATAGGTCTATATACACAGTAGCACGTTAAAAACAAAAGCACTATGGAGTATGTGAGATTTAAATGAGGTGCTATTTTTTAAGTGAAGACTGACGTACTTGGCTTGTCAATGATATTCTATTAATTATACTACTAAAACTTGTATCTATCTGTTCGTTGGTTTCGTTGTTGAATCCAAGTGAACCCCGTAAAGTGGATAGCACTGGATGGTTAAAAATTTCTAGTCGTATACGTAGAGAAGATTAACCGCGGCGAAATACATGTTATTTATTAGACTGTTTGAATTAACAAAGTTCAGTCACGGTAATGGGATAACCGGAGTGAGGTAATGAAATTGGCGAGACATAATCTTAAGTTACTTGCCACGGGGTAACCTTAATCTATAATATATATTTAACTAAATGTCGAGCGAATCAAATCTCTGTTTTGCTGTTCACTGTACGGTCTCTTTGCGAAATCGAATATTTCGGTGCTGTTTGTTCAGATTTTTTATACATGATTATAGAAAAGTTATGAAAGCTGATATGTGTTAAGATTTGGTGAAGTCTATTTTAAAAATATTTTAATATAATATATGATATATATATATATATATATATATATGGGTCTATGAAGAGAGAGCATTTCTTAAAACTAGTCAAAAGCTTTTACCAGGAGCTGAATCAAAATGCCATCGAAGTCGAAAATGCCCTTTGAAGGATAACAGCCTTATAAAGAAGAAATTGTTGCTATCAATTGGTAGATCTCGATAAGCCGAGCACATTACTAAATGCAATACATTAACTAAAATTGATATTTCGGTCCGAGAGTGTGAGATAAAAACTTATATATCATATGTATTTTTGCCCACATGGCACTGAGGTGAAATTCTGTTCTGAGGAATTGGTTCCGAGGTTTTTGGCGCGAAGTTCTTATACAGTCAATGGGAAAATTAAAGTGGCTGACATAGCGAACATTTTGATCAGGTAATTTATTTCGGGAATATTCTCTGAGAGATTTCCTTACAGAACCACACAAATACATTTTTTATATGCAAGGTACTTTTTTCTTGATGCCAACTGATACATTTCATCTCCTCATACCTAAAATTGATATTTTAACATGAAAATGGCCCAAGACTAAATATGGTAACTATTTCACGTATGTGACATTTGAATAATCATTTATTACATAGCCTACATATGCGGGGTTGTTTTGGTACCAATTGAAGTTTTTCGATGAGCTGAATGGAAATGTAATTTACATTTATATCTTCTCTCTACATCTCTTTACATCTATATTTTATCTCAGTTTTAATGCCAAAGATGCCATTTGAAGGGTAAAATTTTATTAAAGGGTTAATTCGCGCGATTAACCGATAGGATCGTAGACTTGAGTAAAAATGCTGTACATGTCTTTATACTTAAGATAATTTGGAGTAAAAAGTGCAAAAAATGCAATTGTTCGTATTTGTTTACCTATGTAACACCTAGATATAAATAAGTTCCCAGGTAGTTTTGAACGACTCTAATTTCTAATAAATAGTCAGTGAGAAGTTAGTTTGTAACGCAAATCAAATTCGTTCATGGTGAAAAACGCCGACGAAATAGCTTTCAAAGACTAACGAGCTAACGTGGCAGGATAACTGCTACGGGATAACTATTGGTATACATTATAGTTTATGTTGAATGTAACATCAGTAAAGCTAAATAAGTTAAATCAATACATCAAATAGAGTCCGTCTAGTCAACATTTAATATTACAAGAGTAAGGAAAATTCGTATATTCGCATTTATTTCTCTCGAAATCACAAATTTACAATTCTTTTTCGTTATTCAGCTACATTATTTATTTCGATTTTTAATACATTCTAGCATGCAATCAGTCTGTAGAATGGTTTACTTGAAAAATTTTTATTTTAAGTGTCAACTAATTCCAACACAAAAAAGCAATATTTAAGTTTAATATCAATATGGAACAATTGCGTGTAGTGATTGCTTTCAATTTTTCAAATAGCCTGTGTGTTTAAAGGTTTCCGTAAGGTGCTTTTGCTTCTCCTTTTTATTATGAGGAATCAATTCATATATATATATAGATAGATAGACTGCATTTGTTTCCTGTACAACGAAAATTCGAATTTCGTTGTTTTTAAAATACTATCAGAAAGAATAGTGCAGGGTATTTTATCAATTTGCTCGTCAATATTAACAGATTGTTTGCACATATCAATTTATGTAATTCAATGGCTTTTGCACAAAGTACTAATATTTTATGAAATGGTTCAAGTATGCATCTTTACTCTATAAAAAAAAAAACGAAAAAAAAAAGGTTTAATCAGCAGAAATCAGAATGTTCCAGTTTTGCAATCGTTTGCAATATTTTAATTCGTAATTTAGCCATAATATTACATATAGACAAAAGCTTGTTATTCAAACATATTCTTTCTAATTACGATAATCTCTTTCATGACGTTCTCGTAGCATACGTCCTGCATCGTGAATTATTAAATAGAAATAGTTAAAAGGAAAAAGAACAAATCCAACGACACATTGTTTTCGTCACGATGAGCCAACGCAATAGCTAAACAATAAATAGGTGCAAGCTTAGACATATCTATGTATATATGGATTTACAAGTCGGCGCAGTACTACACATCTATGACTAACGAGAGCTGCGGTGACTGATATGATAACAGGTATCGAGTCAACATTTTCATAATTAATTAAAATGTTTGTGAGCGATCTGACAAACAAGATACAGTTTTCCTTCAGATGCTGACCTAGATCCAAACCAATGATAAATTAACACGAATAAGTTTTTCAATATCGATCATTTGCAAGTTAGTAAAAGCTCATTTCTGTAGAGATAAATCAAAATATTTACATATAGAAAGCGAGGCACATTTGTCAGATCAGGTATAATATTTACGATTAGTGGACATCACGTCAGGCGACAGCTATTACTAAATGACTGAATTTGCACAGAACAAGCTGGCTGAATTTCCAGAGATTTGACAACGCTGATTATTATGACTAGGTGGGCGGAAGGTTACCATTTATCTGGTCTTTTTTAATGGTCCTTACCATTTATCCCTGAAATTTAGGCTGGCGCTGTTTAAAACAACCTTGATTAACCAATAGCTCTACTATAATACTTTTGTGTAAAATATTTTTTTTTTTGTTTTTGTGGAATTGACTATTTGTCCTGGGTAGGCTATTTTGAAGATTTATTAACAAGTAATGGTGGAGGATCATATTAACGATGAATGATAAAAGATTGGTGACTTGGATGAACATACACTCTGCTGACTTTTTTTACATATATATATATATATATATATATATATGTTATGATTTTCATGTAATACTTGTAAATGCACCTGTGTTATAACTGTATTCTAACGACGGACACGTCTCGTCTATAATGGCTTATTTTCTAAAAGGATCCATTAGGAGGCCTAATGTACCTATAATAACTGTGAACATGCTTTACTTGCATATGTCTATCTAGCGTGTTACTGGTCGTCCACTGGCTTGAATAAGCTAGAATAATAAATACATAATCATGCGGTATGATCTTAATCATAACTGTGTTGTCTCGATGGCCCTCAAGAGATCGATTCCATTGTGGACGAGGGATCTGACATGGTATTGGTTCTAATGGCATTTTACCTAATTAGATTTCGACTATTGTTGGATGATCCATTCGAAGTTTGAGATGTCTAGTTTGTTTGTTAATGCATTTATGCCTACTATTTAGCCGATGCTTATCCTTATTTTTCGTATAAGACGTCTGTTACTATTTTGACATTTTTGCCCACTAGGATTTTTCAAACCCCAATACTAGTACTAATATCAGGTATGGTTTCAATTATCATGCATTTACATATTGTGGCACGGCATTGCGTGTGGACATTTCTATTGTGTGAATGATGTTTGGTACGTCCTTGACCAGCTGAGAAAACGTTGGCCGTTTTTCTGGGTCTTCATGCCAACACGAGAGCATGATCTTGTAAAGGGCATCAGGACAGAACGCTGGTTGTAGCATACGTCGGCCCTCTTTTAGCCAAAGATGAACCTCCCAATTGTCGACGCTGGGATACGGCTGACATCCACGGGTCATCAGCTCCCACAATACTACGCCAAACGACCACACGTCGGACTTGTGAGAATAATGGCCAGATATCAGGCTTTCCAGAGCCATCCACTTTACTGGAAGCTTGGTTTTAGCATTATCACTTGAGTAGTAAGAAGTTTCGTAGACATCGCGCGAAAGGCCGAAATCGGCTACTCGCACAATCATGTCTTCCCCAACCATGCAATTTCGTGCAGCCAAATCACGATGGATAAATTTCTGCGACGTAAGGTACGACATGCCCTGGGCAATATTTGCACCGAACGTGATGAGATCCTTGACAGTTGGCGTATTATCTTGATTTCGGATATACATCAGCAGATCGCCGTTAGCCATATACGGCACAATGATCATGGGATCAGTTGCATTGTTGTTGTCGAAGCTCACACCTATCAGGCATAACACGTTCGGATGATTGAAATCTTTCATACGGAGTGCTTCCTTAAGAAATACGTTAGCGTCATTCGTAGTATAGCCTCGTTGTTGTAGGGTTTTTATAGCCACAGCTTCTTCATCACTAATCTTGTCGCGTTTCAGGACTCCTCGGTAGACACAGCCGAATTGACCTTTGCCAATCAACGCGCCAACTTGAATACACGAAAAGTCCATCAGGAGATCCCAATCTGAAAGTTGCTGGATGATCTCTGGGTCAGGTGGAATTGTGGCGAGAAGGCGTTCACTATCTGGGTTGAGATAGCCATCATTTTCAGGTGTAAAAGCGACTGTAGGCTCAATTTTCTCAATTTTCGTCCGTACACAGAAATAATAAAGGCTAATCAATAAGACTACGACAATCAGTGCTAGAATAGAGCCTATAACAGCAAAAGTAACACTCCCATCCAAACTTGCGGAGTGTCCTATGACTTTTACCTCAGCTTCGTAAGTTCTGGCGAGGAGGTCGGTACTGTTTAATGTGACGTAAACAGGATGACTTCCTGGTTCAAGCTGTGCAGTACAGACGACTGTTGTCTCGATAATGCTGTTTACCTCACAAGGTCTATCGCCAACTTGAACGATAATGTCGTTCTTGTCTAGTGGAGAAAGATAAGTTCCCTGGATTGTAATACGCGTCTCACCGGTCGGACTAGCCACGGCTTGCTCAATGTTATTGCCAAAAATTGTTGCGTTCGGGTAATAGGTTAGTTGTGAGCGAATCTTCTTATAAAGAAATCCGTCGAACTGTAATTCCATACCGGCGTGGATAGGTTGATTGGACAAGTAGATGTCGTGATCGACTAGCGATGGCGCTTTACACATCACAGTCGTTTTATTGGGGGCACGACAGTTAGCAGTTATGACTTTATCGCCATATAATTTAATGTTGATATGGGGCTCAACCGATGCGTCTAGATGTTCTCCTCTGAAAACAATCTGATACGCACGTCCTCCTGTGAAGAAGTAGTGCAGCTTTGATGATCCGTCGACTTCGATTTCGGACGGATTGTTAATATACTGAAAGAGCTCGGTCGTATTGTTAGTTCCGTTTGCTGGATAAGCTACTTTAGAAATCTCCAGTGACAAATTTAGCCTTCTTTCCGTGATGCCAGTCGGGAAGGTTGTCGTGTTGCAGGTCAGATGCGTCCGATTGATGACAACGAACGTATCACAAATATGGATATTCGTAATGTTATTTGTCCCTATTAGTGCACTGGGTGGGATTCGCATATCATTGTATCCAATGTTTTCACCTATCAAGGTTAATTTTGTCCCTCCCGTATCTGGTCCGAATGATGGAAACACACCGTAAAACTTGACCGGGTAATATGTGTATGTAGCTATTTGTTTATATCCCTCAGATGAAATATGGTAGTTCTTCAAACGCTCGTCCATTTTGAAATCACGAACTTGCAGAAGAACTTCCACCTTGTTTTGTGAAAGGGTCGTGTCACGGCCTGGTACTTCACACGTTATAGACGAATTACTCCACTCTTTAATTGCGCAAGCTTTGTTTCCAATTTTTACCGGCATTGTGCTTTGGATTGGATAGGCGGGGTTGCCGAAGTCTAAACCTTTTATTATAAGGTTATTGCCACCTTCATCAGGACCTTCGAATGGACCGCTTTCCTTTATGTCGACAAAAGGAGCACAATGATTGTTCCCTTTACCCGGAGTACATCGACCGTTCTTCCACTCACAGCCGACAATTCCATCGGTAATTTGGTGCGGATTTAGGCAGTCGCCGCAATTCAGATAGAATGCACACGTATCACGCGTGTCGATCTCTAAAACCTCGTCCTGTTTTAGAAAATGGATTCGACCTGCAGAGTGTGCAGATTCAGTTATCGAACCAAGATAGTCTCTGACTTCACTGCTATACACAGCGTCCCGCAAATCCGTATTTTGTCTCTTGAGAAATTTGGTGTCGACAGTTACAAGGTGAATCGCAAATGTAGATGTGATTAGCACTCGGTGTACTTGGTCCTGATGATCAGCTACCCATATGTAGATTGGCTCAGAATCGATAGGCCCTTCAGGTTCTTCGACCTCAAATGTGGTGAGGGTTCCAACGGGAACTCCTTCCGATCGGGTACGATTGTATATATAAGTAACATCGGGTGGATTTTTGCGTTGCGACGCGAACACAACATTGCCTATTAAGGATCAGTCATTAGCAGTAAATTAATACTTTGAATTTAAACTTAACTTAATAAAATTATTAAAAACGTTAAATATATAAAATAATAAATAAAATAATTAAAAAAATCGAAAAATGATCGCAACGGTTGTTTATTTTAAGAACCGACAGGGTAACACGCAGAATGTAGTAATTGACACAGGTACAAATCGACGTGGTAACTTGAAGTTTTCGCCCTGTATGATCAGTGAAGTAATTAATGTCCGGGCCGTCAGAATGGATTCGTGTGACAACTGTATTTTTCCATGGAGTAAAAGAATTGCGATATAAATATCTAACATCATTTAACTACACTAACCTTCAAAAGTCCTCATTCCTACGATGTACTTATTTTCTTTAGGATTGCATTCGGATTTCTCTAATGATTGCTGGCATTGTATTGGAATTCTCGGATCATGCTTCTGATAGTAATTACTTTGCCTGAAAAAAACATTCCGAAATTTAACCTAGGTAGCGCTGTTTTTGTATAAAAATATTTTATATATCTTACATTATTTTTATATAACTTCCAAAAATAATATATAACAAAAATTAGAAATAGATCTACTGTCGCGAAATATCTATTGTTCGTCTAGCTGTTGATAATTTCTATCTGCATTTTGCAATACGCATCTCTGTTTCTTTACATAGTTGAAACAATTTCAAAGAGCTTTTCGTCGAGTCTTTAAAAACCTTATAGATACTATTGCTGTGATTGAATTGAAAAATCCGAAAAGCCTGGGCAGTTTTGTACGTATATGGCCAAACAATTGCTTTCGCTGCAATTGCTAGTCTGAGTTATTTTTACGTGTTTCAACGTGTATTTTTACGTGTTAAATAATTCAAGTCAAGAAATATATTTAGCTAGGTAGGAATTTGCGCTTAACTATCATTGATATATTTTTATAAATTTATTTGATACGATAATTTAACGATATGCACAAAATAGGTATTACTCCTCAATAACAAAAAGGCATATACACGCACCTCTGGGCGTGTATTCATGTATATATATATATATCCTCGAAATATGTTATTATTAGCCACTCCATTCTTACTGCCACTGAAGGCCCGACCGGCCTGCATCAGTTTTCATTTACATTGCTTAGTTTGCTTGCAGTTTGTGTCCGTTTAAGGAATTTACCAAAGAAATTGCTTTCTTATATTGGTTTCGAAGACGTCATAAAATGATTGTCGCAAGATATATATTTTCCCTACTTCTGAACATAAGCTGAACCCTTCGCATACAGGCTTTTATGATCGAAAAGTAGTTCTCGCTAGATTATGCGTAACGAGATAGTTTATTATAAAATCCAAATAATCGCATCATTTATCAAGTTATTGATTGAACAATTTGACATATCTTCGTGTGTAATAGTTACCTGACAATGTCTGCACGCGCGGCTTCTCTGCAGTGCTTGGTCGTCTCACTAAATTTGCTGCTCAAGCTATCCACGTTAAAAGCGCATAGGGCCGACGGTTTCGCGATGGATGGATATGGCACGTTTTTCTCTGCCTCACCCATTGTGACTAGAAGCGTATAATTGGAGCCGCGAATAATATGTCGAGCGTGGGCCGCAACATCGTATCGTCTGTCATTCGTTTTACAACTAAGTATAGCATTCAACCAAAGTTATACAAAAGCAAAATAATATTAAGGACAGATGGAAAATGCTAAGAAAAAGAAGGCTGATTTGTTTTAGATCGTAGTAGCTCGTCATGTTACTTTAGATTTGATAGGAGCATCCTCTGACTAGTCACAATAGCTCTAAGTTACGGGCCTAAATTGATTATAAGCGAAATGTAAATGAAGCATATGCTATTGTTTGCATGGGCCAACAGAAAGGATCGTCAGTGGCGTACTTGTTTCCCAGATCTCGAAAGCTCCGAAGAAGAGAAGCTAATGACAGAATCAAGTACCTTGGTTCTATGTGATCAGAGAGCTTTTGACTAATTCTAACAGTCTCAAAATTCTCGTGAACAATTTGAGCAATTATATGTATTGCCGCATTAAATTCAGCCGCCAAGGAGAGTATCGAAAAACCAGGGTTGTCCAAAACGCACTTTTGCATAGCCTCTATTAGGACCGTTTTTGGCGAGCTTTCCGACATATTCTTACTATATATGACGCTAGTCTAATCTCTTCAACAGCTGCGTATTTCGGATAACCAGTATAGCTTATAATTTTTTTGGAAGCTCATCCGGCGTCAGAGGGTTAGTCTCCGGAACACGATCTCCGCTCACACAGCGATAATGTGGATCGTTTCTAAACATATAGCTTATTTCGGTACTGAGGAAAGGCAGCCAGCTAGAATGTGTCTCAATGATGACTTTGTTAACGAATATACAAAATTTAGCGGCAGGTTACATTTTTCGGAATTACGCTTATATTACAATATTCATCCATCATCGTGCACGAACAGATTAGGACTAATCAGTAGAACGTGTCGGTTTGTATTTACCTTATCGGTATCTCCGTGTATGATTTCATGCTTTTGTTGTCTAGGCAGAAACGCGCCACTCGCGTCTCAAATATTACGTATTTCATAACCGCTTTGGTATTACTCGTAATCATCGGCTGGACTGTCACAACGAAGGCAAAACCATTATATTGGAACGCATGCAGGTATTTAATCTGTTTCGAAAAAAAAAAAATGAAAAAATTATGCAATCGTTTCAATATATTAACCATTTTTTTTATCTATGCGTTACCAAGCATGTAAAGGTGATTTGAGATTTAATTAGTTCGTATTATTTCTTCACTATATCTTTGCTGGCTCAAACGTTTTCAACAATCTGTTCTTCTGAAAAGTCTCCATTGATTTGTACGCTTATTACGCCCTCAACATGATATCCATTTAATAATATAAATACTGGATACTGCAAAGATGAAATAAAACGTCCCTGCCGCAGGACGTGTTGAATCAAGTAAACAAAAATAGGTACCATTTGGGTTTCAACATATGACCAAATTTAACAATCAAGCTTAGAGTCATGTGGTCGAAATTAATCAAAATGCCACCTCTGTCACCTTACGGCAATTTCCGTATCGCTGTGCACGACGTATCCGTTCCTAGGAACGAACAGTCAAATGCGTTAGCGGTTAAGATTATCTATCATGTTCTAGCTCCTAACATCCCGTAAGAAATCTAAAAAAAAAAGCCAGAGTCGCAAAACTATGACGAATCATCCCAGGCCAATAGTTGGCTAGGAACAAACTACATTATTCATTACCTAGTAATATTAAACGAGCTCTTCAAGAAGACATAAACTCCACTTTCTTACCGTCGGTCTGAGGTTGTTTTCGAACATCATCGAGTAGCCGTTCCTTAATTCCATGTAGGGCGCAAATCCACGCGGTGGCTTATTTATGGTTGACTGGTCGCTTAGATCATCGTCCTGTAGTTGCAGAAGACTTAGCGGCGACTGAAATGTAAATGTGGGGAAGAACATTCATATGGCATTATACCAAGCGCTATATGTTGTTGAGTTTATTTTTGCGAGTTTCGCTATTAGGATTCGTGGAGCTAAGCACAATTAGCTTGTTTTCAATGAATGTGAAGTAAGTTCATTTGTTCATGCAGTAAATGATTCTTATGGATAACCGCTTCTCCGACCTGTCCTAGTAAACAGCTGGGTAGTCGCTTATAGCATTGGACATCTTAATGTCTCGAAATAAAAAAACTTAAGGACCAGACGTTCGTTATTATATCATATTAGGGCGTATGCGTGTTATGAATAGTTTACTAAATCACTGACCTCATTCGCTGTGTCGAAATCCTTGCTGACGGCGAACAGTACGGGCTTGCCTTTTGAATGGTGTTCTAATGGAGTAATCAAGCTAAAGTTAGAACCGTGATTTCTAAAGTTGTCTTTGTCGAGTTGAACAACACGAATCGTACTGTTGTTTTTATCGTGTACCATTATAGAACACAGTCCGCGATTTACAGCAAAGCATACGACACCGACCTCAACAAGCGTGCTTCCATTAATTTCTGCACGTCCAATTGTAACGGCAGGTGTTCCGGGCGCTGATACGGTAGCCTTGCTGATCCACTTAGAATGAGAAAACACAATAAATTTTAGATTATTCTAGATATTTCATAGAATTAAGTCAGTCGCTTTCTATATATTGAAAAAGTAATTTTCTTCATGGAAAAGAATAGATCAATGCAGCCCTGCAATGTCACTGTTTCTTCCTGAAAAAGGGAATGCAACAAGTCGTTATGCTAACATTCTTCTTCTAATTAACTCTCTTCACTATGTTCGTAGTCAAACGTAGCAGTTATCTAAAGCTGTGGTTTCTTTCGTGCATAAACAACATAATCCTTGCGTGGTCGTTTTCTAAAGATTCATATCTTTACTAGTGACTTCCTTGGCATCGGACTAGAAAAAGTCCATCCAACTAAAATTGAATTTGATGAATACCTATGGGTAAGCTTTTAATGCCACAGAACCATTTTCTACGGAACTTCTTATGGAAGACTTGTTAGACTAGATCCGCCTGTCGCATGACACACTATTGACTTCTTGTGTGTTCTGGAGTCCTTTTTTGTGGAATGGGTGAGGTTCAGGGTTCGCGTCAAATTATTAATACGTTAGTGTCTATTGATCTATTACCAAATTTAACTAGAGCCAGTTACCCGTAGTAAACGTGTTCCCAAAGAAAATGCATATATCAAGTGCCGACTTATAAAAAGTGCCAAACTTCTACAAATTTCCGTAAGTCAACCAATGCGAATACGTGAACGTATTTATCCCTGAATTAGTTCCACAAAAAAAAAATTCGCATATATAAAAATTTCCACTATCGCATAGATATATCAAACTATCAAGCCGTTACCAGAGAGAGCAGAGCTACATTCTAGAGTTTCGAAACGAGACGGTTAATGTTATTATTATCGTGTATACTGTATACAGGATATCCCAGAAAATGTTTGATGGATCATAGCTTTTTTTGTGTAATTAATTGGAAATAATGAGTGGACTAACTTTTGAAAAAAACGAGAAAAGATTTATTTTAAAATACTACTGGAAGTATAAGAACAATGTCGCAGCTTGATCCTCCTATGTGACATGCAACCTATCAAAGAAGAAAAATTTCAAACAGAACTGTTTCAGATATTTATAGGCAACATCAACGAGCTCTACTAGCAAAGAAGGCATATTAAGTACCTGAAAAACCTATAAAACAACCTACTTTTCAACGTAGCATCAGCAACTCATGCGTTCGTCTCATCAATGAACATTATGCCGGTGAAAGAGAACTATTTAGCGGGTCGTACCCGAAAAAATGTGGATACCCACAATTTTCCTATGGAAGATTATTTGGGAGGACGAAGCTATAATACATTTCAATTAAATGGCATAATTAATTGACACAACTACATCTTTGTAAACAACCGTAAATTCGCTTGGGTTTTCCGGAGGGTTAACCGGCGACATAGGAAGATTTCAAAGTTGAACTTGGGTAATAGCACGCATCACCAAACAAAATGTTTGTTGAAGTTTGTAAATTAAGCACATCAATTTAAAATTATGATAATTCAAACTGTCTATCCATTTTCTTAAATTAATCGATATCGTCCAAAAGATGCATTTGATAATTGCAAAGGGAACATTTGAAACGAGCCTGTGCCATGGGTTCAAATACCTGTTTTTGTTTAGATGTGATTTTAGAAACAGGTCCGGTCAGTTAAATGCGCCTGACGTATACGTAAAGTCAACAAGAATTTTGCCGTATTTTTTGCTTGAACAGAAAACACCATATTATTTGTTCTTGTGACAAGACATTGTGTTATGTATCTCGGGTTATTGCTCGTCACTTTCTCGCATCCTTCGTCCAAATGATGCATGCCGTCCCGCTAGAAGGCAGCGGGTTTCTTTTCGAAGGTTTCTAATCACGTTTGGAATTGTTCATCTATGTCGAAAGTCAGGCCACGAAGGTAATTGCTCGATAAAAGGAAAAATAAAAATCTGTTAGTGCAAAAATCTAGGGAATAAGGAAAAAATAGCAAAACTTCCCAGTTTACATCCAGGAGGGCAGCTTTAACGATGTTTGCTTGCTATTTGTGGTCTCGCGCAGTCATGACGCAAAATGGGGCTTTTTCCCTTGAATAGGCTGGATGATTAGTTGCAAGTGGATCAAACATGTCTGGTTCGATCAACTGCCTGGTTCACAGAAAGCAATTCCCAATGAATCAGGCCCTCACAGTCCCACCAGGCGCAGAACATAACGTTTTTCAAATGAAAATCTAATTGGACCTTGGGCCTTGGCTTCTCTCCTCGACCCACCCATTCTAATCACCGATTAAAATTTATGTACACACACCACCTTTTTACCACCGATGTAATTCGCAGCAAAAATCGCTCACTGTGACTTTGATACTGGGTAAGATGCTGAAGTGCGGCGTTGATGCCACGCTGGATACAGAGTTCGTGAGTTACTCAAGCTTTAAGCTTCTACGTAAGTTTAAGGAGTTGACGTGGTTATGGATAACCTTGTTTATCCGTCGATTTCAGATGTCTTAATATGGCCGTCATCAAACTCACACGTTCGATAATAACGGGGGACATCCTCTTCCGAATACTGTTTTCGAACTTGGCATACCATTCTTGCGCAATCCTTCTAGCGATAACATCCCTATCGTACACAAGGCAGATGCCCCGGACCCTTTCGAAATTGTAACTACGATTAAATGTATAATATATAAGTTGCCGAAAACTCGTTATTTCGATTGAAATATTTATCTTTGAGAAGTTTCTTCAAACTCACAATAGAATACCTTTATATCACGCTGATAAAACGCGAAGCTAAGATTATTTCGACAATGCAATAGACGTAAAAAAGACGCACATTTCGGATATGCGTATTTTTTAGACTTATCTCCTTATTTCAATTATACGTGAAATGGTAAAAAAAAAACGGTATTGCATGAGGCACTACTTTTTTGATCCATAGCTTTAGCTCATAGAAAACTTCTCCAAATAAACTCATTGTTATCATATATTCTCTTCCGCCAGGCCAGTACCTTTTCCTGGCGTTCTAAAACATCAGAATGCTCAGATAGTTCTCGTTGTAAACAGTTTACAGTCGAGAGGCACAAATGCTATTTATAGGGCAAACAAATACCGATCGTCCGTAGATGCTTGCTTCCCGCGATCAGTTTTTGGCTTTGTTTGCTCAGATTGTGCGTTGGTAAGGCGTTTGAAGTTTATGTAAGTAGACAGCGAAGCCTTGCATTCAGTTCAGAACGTTCGACGTAACACGTTAGCCCTTCAATGTGTCTACGTATGTATTGATGCATGCAAAGGCCGTGTTTATCCTATCTTTAAAAATCGAATGAATTAGAACGAAATAAATGAACGACGTCATCATGATTCCGTTAATATCTTTCGTATATATACAAATGCGTATTTATCTACACGAAGATAAATATCGTTATAGATTAGTTAGGTCCAATGGTTAAAGGTCAGGCGATTAACGCATTCATGGTACACTCGTTGGTATCATACAAATCGGACGAAGAGGGCACATAGATATATGTAAAAGATGAGCGTGCTAAGTCGAGCTATTAAAGATGTATTGGACGCTGCTAAAGGTTTTTCCACCTCTGTACATATATATATATATATATATATATATATATATATATATATATATATATATATATAGCCTATGAAGCCTACCAAATATTCAATCCTAGGTATATATATATTACTATTACTGTATAAGGACAGGATATAGAGCGAGTAAATCGCATTTGTAACGGAAGCAGACCATCGTCATTGAAGTTGGTGGCAGCCAGAGGACAGCGGATCGTTGCTCCCTTGTTCCTCGAAGCTGTGTGACGACCAGTAAAATCGAAGACGGAGAAAGTGGTCGGCTGCAAGCTATTGGTGATAGAAATTTTCTCACAAAGTGCGAGGAAATCGCGTTATCACCGAAGCAACCATTTTTGAGTACTCGAATCATGGACAGGGCAAGTGCCTGCGGCTAGTTGCATAATGTTTGTCTTGCTTATTGACTTCAGGTATAGCTCAATGCTGGTTTGGATCCGCTGTGGACAGCAAGGCGGTATGAAGGAGTTCATGGCTCGATGTATGTCGGATTATCGTGTCGTACCAGTTCCACGGCTGCGTGCTTTCCTACAGTGCCGCTGCCTGACTTCACAGCTTAAGTAAAGCTCGTATGCGATTGCTGGATGGACCAATGTATGAAGTCGCAATCGTTGGAATCAGACAACGTACGCAGTAGGTCAAGGTTTTGTACCTACTGTAGTATACAGTGTTGTTTTGAGCCGACTTAAAGGCCAAGGCACGTACTTTGCGTTATTGTAATACGGAAAAAAAAATCCGATTCGGATACGAAGCCTTTGTTAATGTACAGTCAAAAGGCTTTGGTGTCCAATATGAAGAAAATGCAATACGTGGTCCCTTGTTAAAAGAAACTATTGCTCAACTTGACGATGCAACAGATGGTCTGTGTAAAAACGTTTGAAAACTAAAAGGCACGACGTGTGTGTTTCGACATTTGTTCCCATCGAAAAAAAAGCGTATGCATAGGCAAGGACGGGCATGCTCTCGGCAGCTGAGGGCAATGGTTCCGTTTGAGTAACCACTGCAAGGGTAGCAGAGCTTGAGAGATGGCGCGCAAGATGATCAGACAACAGCAAATCCTGGACAGCTGTTGATGGCGTGGGAAGAACGCGGACAACCTCAAACCGTATGTTGGGACTCAAACGTGGGTAGAGCGGCCGACTGTTACGGCGCGTTTCACAAAGAGTACGTATATATACCACTGAATAAGGGTGGAAGTGGAAAATCACATGCGAGTAAAAATGACGGGTGCTAACAGTTCTTTTGAAACGTGTTATAAAATTATATATTAATATCGGCTTGTGGATCAAAACACAGCGTATGCCAACTCAAAAAAAAATGCTAACCCCCGTGATTTTTACCCGCGTGCGATTTTCCATTATTATTTTTACTAAGTTGTACCTGAGTCCAGAGAGAACCCCGTTCTTTCTCAAGGATCCGCCATTGTCACATTCGTTTCGGCTTTATCTCTGTATCTAACCAACGACTCTCCGTGTCGATCATCTTCTTATTGAATCCAGAAAAAAGCTTTTTTTTTTCTTCTTGCAGATCCTTCCAGCATCCACAGTGTCAAGCATCCTTATACCGAACCCAGAAGAAACGATACCGTTTCTACAGATCCTTGACCGTCAAGAAAGAAACTCTTACATATCTTTCCTCTAAATGTCGTTGCAGTAACTCATGTCTAAGCCGCTACCTTCTCAGAAACTAGAAGCCCCCCCTGTGCGCCATGCGTCGCCACCCTCTAAACTAAAACAATAAGGATGAGCGTAATCAACGCCGCTGAACTGTTTCTCTCACTCTACCACTGAAAACAATGCCTAAGGCACGCACATCCCGTTTTATTACTATCGTTAGGAGGTTACAGTTAAAACAACAGCGGCACCTGCCGATTTTATAGTCGGATCCTGATTCGCAGTCACGCCCCTAAATTTTTCTGACAGCAATCATATGAGCCGATGAGACCCAAATGTAAATAACCCATAGATACACAGATACGTATAGTTTTCAATAGATGTAAATTGTACTTTTTTCACAAGCGATTTATCTGGTATCAAATGTAACAGTACGCCATAGAAGCGTAATGGCCTCTCTTAGTAAAATATGTTGATGATGAATATAGTAAAGGTTTGACCTACAAGGAAGGTTTGTTTTTATTTGTGGGAAACTTAGAGGAAGAAATACATCGAAACGAATTATATTTCCACTGAATTATCTAGGAGCACCACATACTTAGACATGAACTAAACATAACATATGTTCAATGCTAAAACAGTAAGACTGATTCTGTTGTCAGTTGTTTCCTATTGCATTAAAGCTTGTACCGTTGTGTTTACCACCTCGAGTTTTCTTTTGAAAACAATTGTGTATTTAGAGACATCGCTGTAAAAATGTCCGGTTGAATTGAATCGGCCTTTATTGAACACTAACAAGAGCTGTTAGCGTAGATTAGGCTAGCGCGATTTTATAATCAAGGGGCCATTGCTAAAGACTACGGGGCAAATACTTAAAATCAGTTAGCGCACAAATGATGGAATTTAATTCAACAACAGTCGACTCTCGATAGTCCCTCAGTTCTTTAATAGGCTGTTATGATATGTAATGGGTTACCCCTAATCGAAATCTAGCTTCGATATTATATTCAATATCTTACGATTCGAAGAAACGAAATGAAAGACAAATGAGAAACACAAGCACTAACAAAATAATAAATCAATATCAAAAATAGGAAACGAAGTTTTTTTTTTTCGATAATTATTCTAAACTATTATAACTTGGACGATTTTTCAATTGACCTACATCATCAAACTTGAGCTTTCCTTTCAAGGGTTGCAGCCTCACCAAAAACTTACTGTGACTCTATGAGAATTTTTATCTACGACATATAATAGGGGAGAACAGAATTAAGTTCAGGCTAATCAGGCCTAATAGCAGTGAACCGATTCTCAATACCTAGCGTTTCTATTTTCCATGGGAATGAATTTACTGTTACAATGATAACGGTAATAATTACTATTAAACTTGTGGTTTTCCAATAAAGCCTTAAGTGTGACCAGGCAGCATATATATATATATATATATATAATTTTAGACATGGGTTAACAAAACAAGAACGTCTATCGTGAAACTTTGGCACTATCCGTGTGTTTTGTGCAGTAAAGCGTACAATTTGTGCAGTTATCTATAAGATACCTAATTAGGAAACTCCATCTGTCTCTTCTAGATGCATGGTTTTATTTTTAATAGTATTTATTCATTTTAACAACAGAGACAATCCAATATTTTCGCATATGCTACAAGTGTGATTTTTAACGGTTATATTTAGTCAATATAACCACCATTCACCGTGATTACGCCTCTAATTTGGGACCTCATAATTTTTAAAATAATCCTTCTTCACTCCGCAACCGTACGTCAAACAACATTGATGGACGTGAACTCACTAAAGAATCATTCAGATACGTTATATAGAACAGATTTAAGCAAAATCGATTTCAGGCTGATAGCAAACCGAGAATCCGATAAATTCAAGCTCTAAGTGACTCAATGCAAAAAAGCACAAAAGTTCTCAAAAAAAAAAAAAACAACCATTGGCAACTGATATTCCCGTTTTTAAAACGCCTGTGAATGTTTTAATTAAAGATACAGGTGTATGGCTTTTGGAGCCAATTTTGTTCACAGAGCTTTTGAATCTGATCTCTATTGTGCATTTTTTTCATTCGCTTCATATAAATTTCTTTTAGGTTTTTCCGAAACCGCATTATAAAACTAGCAAGAACTCACACCGTCGACTGTAGGCAAAAAATTATTATTTTTTCGCCTTGTTGATGCTTTGGCCAGCGCGCATAAGCCGCGTGACAGTTGATCTTGCTCAATATATCGTCAATAAGTTCATTGTTTTGTTCTGAAACGAGCTGTCCTTTTTAGGACAAAGGCTGACGTGTGAAGCTCTAGAAACGGGTCCCCCCAAAAATGCTAACGGAACATTCTGCACACAATTTTTCTGCCACACTTCAAAATCGCACATCATTTAAGCTTAAGCCGTGTCCTATTCACAACACATTGCTCTTGCATTTACGCAGATATTGATACCCTTTTGATCTGATAAATATCACCAAATCAAAGATTTGTGAAGACATTAAACAAAGGACCCTAAGCTAAAGCACGCTACGTAAATTGTGCAAGAAGAGAGAACGGAGCGTTGAAAACCAGCCCGCTTTCTCGAGTACCTCAAGAAACTCATGGGCAGTTGGTAATCGAAAGCACTTGCTAACATCACAGTCCTCATTGCTACGCTTCAACTAGTTGCTAGACTGAGTAAATGAATATCCAACGTTGATTCTAAAAAGGGTAAATGGTAAGCAAGCACATCCCGCTATCGATTTACTTTAAGAAGCCATAGGCAGGGAAGTTACACATGGGGAATGCAAATGGTAGATAAATCGTTGTCCAGAAACTGCCAGAGCGATGGGACAAGTGTGTAAAAGATGAGGGTAGTGCCGCCAACCTATATTAAAGATCATCATTCTGACCCAACTAGTTCAAAAGTTATGCAATTTTAAAGCTCGTTGAATTCGCTTGTAACAGCCTATTATAAGTCCACTTAAATCGGGAACACCCATTAGCTTTCGGTAATTTAACCGCAGTATCATAAGATAAACCAAGGCGGAAACATTTTTATGTATGTATTTTGTTGGTCAGTTGTTATACGCTATGACGCACCATACCTCTGCTCTATTTCTGAGGTCTATTGATAAATTACTCCGCTGTAAGCATAAAAGGAAACTCATAAAAGGAGTTATAAGTAGCGAGACAAATAGCTACGAGTCTGCAATGAGACCCTCGCTACGAGGCCCATATTGCGCAGCTCGTATAACACATCTTCCGATATTTACGTTTTTAAACTTAGGCAAGACTTCATTTGTTAGCGCTGGGCTGAGAGTTGTGTAAATGTTGGTTAACAAGGCGTAGCGATAGATTCTGACAACACATAATAGCAACAGTGCAGCCCGCCCATTGAATCAGAAATTGTATAATGAAAAATAAACAGCAAAGAAAAAAGGATGCTTTTTCTATTCTTGACCAAATATAATTTTGTATTCAGTGTAACGTGACACGAAGCGGCTGCAAGTAACGTCAGTAACAGAAACTGTTGTTTCCGTTAAAACGACGAAAAGACGCCTTTATTTAGAGCTGAGTGACATACTCAAGTACGAGGGACGCAATGGGCATTCAGTAGCTCCTCCCCTTTTTCTATAAGGCGTGTGGTACGAAGAACTGGGCTTTAACAGATGCACACATATTCAGAGTAGTCTTCACGAAATTCCGAAAAGAACGAGAATTATCGCTTTCCAAGAACCGAGTGGAGCACAACGAGGTACGGTTGTGATACAGCTATGAGCTATGAAGAGAAGTTTTTTTTGGGCATCTTCTTTTTCGTTGGGGTTCTAAAAGATTGTTCGGCAATCACTTTCATTAATTACGTTTATTATTATTTTTATAATAATATTAAGGAAGCCACCGTTACTTTGCTCTGTCCTTGCGTGTACTTTGATATATTACACCTTTTGCAGGTCTGTTACAAACCTCACGGTAACTTCTATGCCGAAATTATAACGTTGCTCGTGTTTTGGAAATGATAGTCTGAAAAGCCATTCTGGTCGTCACTAAACACAGTCTCATTCGTATCTTGACACAAGTAGAGTTCATAAAATAAAAATTACCATCATCATTATATTGGCCACAATGTCACTTTGAAACTTCTGGACAGTCGTTGCACAGTGAAGCATAATAAAATCTACGGGACATGAAGACTGCAGTGAATAGTTTGCATATAAAAATAAGTAGTAAGATTAATTATACGAGTTGGCCACAATGGATAATTGTATCCTTTCATATTCGTAAAAGGAAAAATAGCCACATTATTAAGATTGTTACCAACTTGCGCTTACTAATCTCTCCGAAGCTTGCTGCATGTGTTAACTTTTAACTTATTCTGTACAAATACATTATCTGAATAACTTCTCTAACTTCTATCTGACCCGACTCTGTAGAATTTATTAAAAACCAAATGAGCTACGTCTGCCTATCAATATCTTCAAAATTCTCAGATGGTACAGTTAGCACTTTGAAGTACTTTTGTAAAACAGGGGTAGAAAGGTCGATTATCTATGCACCTGAGTGAGAATCTTAAGGACTGCCATTATGTCAAGAGGTCCTTTCGAATTTCGATTGAAGATGTTGCTCTGTGGGAAGAGTCATCAACGCCCTTTGTGAAAACGAAACGCGTTAATTTAGACCCTCTAAGGTATCAACAGAACCAACTTAGAGACAAAACTGTCCGGCAAGCTAAATACGTGATCCAGCATATTGGGTCCAACAATAGTAACAAAACAATAAGCAATATATGGGACATATTAACAAAATAAATGAGTTTATCGGATTTAATACAGGTAAAATAATGCCCGTTCACACTTAGTTTCTGCGACCCATTTCCAACGAAAAAAAGCTCTGACAGCATCACAAATCCGTCGTAATATTTTTTAACCTAGATAAATGGCGTCTGAAGGGCTTAGCTTCTTAAGCCGCCATCGTGATAGCTACCGGGAAGTCGACATGTCAGAGCTTACGTAACTTTGCTTCAAGATACTTCCTTCTTACTGGGCAATCCGATGCTAAACGCTCTTTTGAGTATATAAGTTAAGCAAGTTTGTTTGCAAACTGAAACTTGGCATGTTACAGATAAAGGGGATCAAGCGGATATGTTGCTGAAGCACGGAGAGGTTTGTTATTAAACGGTTACTGAAAGGAACAGGCCGTATCGTTCATCTCTCATACTGAAATGGCCCCTTCCTGGAAATCGCTTTGATGAAGCGACTAAATAAATCTAAAAAAATGATTGATTTTCATGTCTATCTGTATTGCTACTGCTTAACAAAGTTTATTTTGTCAATTTATGTAGACTCCGGTAAGTAGTCCGGTAAAAAACTCAAGCGTTTACTACCTGCAGTGGATTACAAGGTCTCAAACAACAAATTATTATGTTGCAATTGTGATTCGTTTGAGACTAATATAACATTATTCGATTTGCATGATTTACCCCAAATAAAAACACGTGAATTTTTTTTCTCTGCAATTACTCTGTTATTCGTCTGCCGTCAGTTTTTATATCGGTGTTGAATTATGACATTTGTATGAAATAAAAGTGTCCTTTAGCCGTCCAAACGATACAATCGCTTTGCGCGTCATCATGAAGGCACATAATCCATTGTTTCTCCGGTACCAAAGCAATCCGATAAGGTCAAATGCGATTAACAATGAAAACAACGATCAATATTTTCTTATTATTGGTCACTGGAAAATCTTCATAGATGTTGTCAAAGTGTCAACTTGTTGTCTGCTAGGTTTTGCCTCGTAGGACTGTCTTTGACCTTTGAGGTGTTTGGCCTTTTGTTACATACATATGGGTACATTGGACAATGTATTCAGACTTCGTTGCAAAAAAAAATTGCCCATATTAAAAATTCAAAAAAAAACTTAAGCCTTTGTGCTTTCTTTATCTGTATGATGCATGTTAAATTATTGATAGCCGTGAAACAATTGTTAATAACAATCGTATAAGTACCATTCGAACTTGTACGGCTAAAGTTAGATGACACATTAAATTCATTTAAGCTTCTGTATCGTGGTTGTGCTTATTTCCATGAGGAACCGTTTCGCAACCCCTTTACTGTGCTGAGTTTTTCGTATGTGCTTAATCGGGGTTAAATCGTTATGTTCTAGAGTCGCTTTCAGAATGTCACTTCTTGCTTGATTCATATGAAAAGGCGCCGAAAGCAATCGGTGCGGCGAGTAGGCCAGCGCTCACCCAAAACGCTGTTTTTGCTCTGCTGGCAGGCATAGCCGCCATCGTTGCAGGGAGCAGTTTCCGGAGTCGACAAAAACGACCGTAAAATTGTAACAACATCAGCATAAAATGACAGCGGTAATGGCGCGAAGCAAATGATTGTATTTTCATAACAGGAATACAACAGTTATAAGCGCTTGACTATGTCGGTAGAATTAACTGTTTTAGCAACGACAGCTGTTAGAGATCGACGAGTCAATGACGTCCAGGCCAACGTCAGCGGTAAAATTCCGTCTCAGCGAATCTCGGTGATACATAAAGGGCTCATGTTGCATTACCTTCACCCCTGTCATGTACCCACACTCGCGAACATTTGGTTTCTTTGGAAATATATCGCTGAGTTCCGATCACATAATCCCTACTGATCTACAGTAAATATCTGATAAAGCATTTTCAGATTATGCTCAGATATTTTCAGATACTTCGATAGTAATGACAGCTACGTTATGATAGAGATCTCAGATACTAGGATGCGAGTCTTTTACTTGCTGACTTTCAACTCTGCAGGGAGCCTGTACAAGCACATAACAAAACCGCTACCTGAACGACGCCACCTGTAATAATTCCTTTTAGCTATGAACATATCTTAAGATATGTTCGAATTTTTATCATCAATGCTCGATAAGTTACACTACAACATACCGTTACAGCCTGCACTACATGTTTCCTATACTACATATTATTCTAAAATAATAACCTGTTTTCATTCTGATCTTTTAGCATTCTTATTCTTTCGTTTCACGTACGAAACCGTTAAAGCGATCATAACAATAATACACTAGCTGCGTTTTGCAAACCCATTGCACCTTATCGATTTTTACGGGAGAACATGGGGAAACCAGCGCCGCGTTATGGTCAGATTTACTTACGCCAATACTAATTTTTCGTTTAGGTTCTTGCATAAGGCTTTCTCGGTGGACGTGACTCTGATAGTACGTGCATACTCTTATGGTAGACAATTTACATTAAACGACAATTCTATCTCCCTTGAACGAAGTTCAGGCCGAGAAGTCGGCTGGCGGAAAAGCTCCCTGTGCACCCGCCAAGTTTCGAACTCGCTATTTTGACCATTCCATTGCTATAGCCAAGTGTCTACTGTGATTGTTTGCAATATGATCAATGGAACTAATCTAAAGTGCTTACGACAAGTCAGTGGTCTGCCAGCCGTTATACTACACTAGTTTAATGCAGCTTACTAACGCATGACGCCATGACGTACACAAATGAACCTAGCGATTTCAAGCTCCTACCTGCCTAACCATATATCCTCTGCAATTTTCCAGCCCATAAGGGAACTGCAGCAGGCACTTCGGATGACGGAAGCCACCAATATGCTACCGTAATGCAATGAAAATAGATGACAATATCACTTAAGTTATACATAGTTCGACAAAAGTAAGACCAATATTGTCATCATGCATCGGCAACGTACCACTGGAAAACCCAAATTTTTTTAACTTTAACTGCCCACTCTACATGTGCTACTAAAGCTTTCGAATGAATCTGATCATCCGATTCATATTGTCCTTTAATTGTACTAGACGTATGGAAAAGGAAGATCTTCGTATATACTACATTTCTTTTAGTATAGCAATGCGTGATATTTCACAATTGTCCTCTGGCGGCAAACAGGTCTAAAAAACTATTGAAATACTGTTTACTGTCGTGCTGGAGGCATGCCATTTACGTCGTTGTGGTAACGTCGCTCTCGGTGACACAGGCGACGTGGTCTAAACAAAAATAATAGCATGAGCGATTTGGCTCCTTCAAATGAAGAGCGAAACGAATTGTTATCAGTTGTCTGCACTGTCGCAATACGTCAGGCTATTATCACAGCTTTTTCCCGTTACGTGACCAATTCATCACGATTTTTACCACTCGGCTACGTTATTATGATCATGTGTAGAGGCGAATTCGAAATAATAGATACCCTATGAAAACCCCGTCTGTGTATACGTCAGTCAACGTTTTCTGGGGTTTATTTCATTTAGCGAAAAATGCAAATGTAGCCAATCGACCTACGATATACGTTACAACAGGGAAGATATAGTTAATCGGTTATTTGCCCGTTCAGTCAGCTAAAGAGCCATCTTTCTTTACGCGATTAGCAATCAAAGAGCACTTGAAACGGTCATCCACGAGTGTAGCACACTGACTCTTATATAGACTGCAGTTGCCGTCTGAACCAGATCTCCACATGACCGTCCGCTTCCTTTTCTTCTTGTCACATTTAATCAATCTAGATTGACTGACAATCTATATCTTTGTATTAGAAGGTAGAGCGGGAAAGGTTTGTTTGCTGACTTAAAAAGGGTGCCAGCCTTCACGGGCAGGGGTACGTTTTTATCTGCCCCTGCTACATACATGCGCAGATATTATAGAAAGGTTCGGTATACATATGAGTTTCGCTTGATGCAGTAAAAACCGGTACATAAACGAAGTAAATCGACACACTCTATGATATAGTAACCATTATGGCGGAGCCGAGAGTGACCACGCCGCTCGATCAAGTCTCAGCTGCCAAACCAGCGTGTTATAGGAGAATTGACGCTTGCGTCTACTGAGACCAAGAAGATAGGACATACACTCTGCGTACATCCATGCGATCTTTCTTTTCACTATCGCTCATTTCATTTTCTACCCCGATAGCGATTGTAATTGTTCTGGCTATATTGTGTGGCATCGCCTGACGCTGTGCGGTACTAAACGTTAGATGCACACGGGGTATAATAGAAAAATAGGTCTAGAACGTCGACAGACCTGGCAGGAGAAGCTGTCACGTCGGTACTTTTCATATGCACAGCCCCGTCATCGTTGACACCTAGCAGCTGGGATTCGTCACGACCATAATGAATAACGGCTAACTTTATGTACCTTTATAATCATCAGTATTTCACTTGGGCCATTGGAGCCGGGGGTACGAACACAGGCCTCTCCCTCTTCTAAAATATGGGTCTCGATAGTCAGATCATAATGACAATATAATCTAGCATTATTGAATGGTGACGAGCTTAACCTCAGGACTAGCACAGACGGTTGTTAAAGAGCACGACGCTGTCAAGATAAAAGTGTAATCATTGCATTGATAGAGTGCGTTTCCTGGTTATGTAATCTACAGTAGGGATTTCGTCACATTTCGTACTTTTTTTTTTTCGTAGATACATTGTGTTTAGTGGCGTTCAAATGACCGTTTAAAAAAAAAAACGTTATTTGTTTACTCATACGTCATAACGATTAACAGTCGAATTCTAGGCTCAATTTACCCTAAGCTACCTACATTATCGCATGCACAGGTATCTACTTCCCTGCAAGTGTTAGATATTTTTTGGAAAATCGTGTACGCACCAATGTAATGATATATATTCGCTGATATTCGACATAAAATAAATATACTACGCCTCTGATTGTCTGACTTTTTTTTTCATTTAGAGTATCTACATACAATGTTCTCATTATGTCGTAGGCATATCGAAGGTGGGTCGAGAAACAGTTGCTCCATATGCATTTTTAAGTGACATTTGCTACGGACCAGAAGAACATCTATCTATCTATCTATTTAAAACAGTAACTAGGTTGTCTTTCTGAACAAGTTGCTCTCTCAGTAAGCGTCTACTAATGTAAACTAGCGATAAAAATCAAAACCACAAAAATTCAATCAGGCGATGATGACAGCTGTGAAATCTAAAAAAGCTGTTGACTAAGAAGCTTCTGTAGCAATTCATCATAAGCGAATTGTTCTCTGCAAGATAATTGTTATGAATTCTGATAGCAAATTACGCTATCCTCTCGCTAAAATATTGACACTATTTGCGATGATTCACCTTTCGTTCATACAAAAGGAAAACTGTGTCCGGCTGGAGCTTTTGTGACGCAATCTTACTTACCCTTCCGGTGTTTTCGTCGTAAAGGAACACTTGACCATTTCCTGCAGCCCATATCGTTCCATCTGATAGAGCAGCCACTTTATCTAGTTTGACACCAACATGCCGCAATCGAATTGGCTCTCGACTTTCGCTGAGGCCCATTGTGACCCAGAATGCCCCTAATAGCGTTACGAGAAAAATCCCTAGCTGAAGTACACCTTGTATTGGCGACACTCGCCACCGGGCGTGACGATCGGTGACACCGTAACTGCGAAACTGTACATATCTACACTTACGAGTCCGATTGTCTCGTGATGTCCCAGACGTCAATAACGTATGCCGTACGCTGGGCAACACAGATGCTGAATGTGATGACACCAGGTGTCGCCGTTTTCCACACTCAACAAAATCTTCGGTTACCTCGCCCTCCCGTATCCTTTGGTCTCTTTTTCTCGACTTCATCGTCGTATGGCCCTAATGGCGATCCCTACTTGAGGCATACGCTTACGCAGTTACAAAGCAGCGCAACCTGTTGTTGTACCTTTTAACCAGCGCCAGTGCCCCACCAGCAGTACCGCTGCTAGAATCAGCCGTCCGTCAGCGTGACGACCGCTGCTGCGATCAACACGGCCACTGTTAGCAGCGCCAGTCAACGTAGCTACCACGATCCTTCTCTTTAGAATTACGGCTACCACCGACTGCCACTACTTTTCACTTCAGGGATCCTTTCGTCTCGGCTGACGCTTAGTCGCGTCGTGTTCTGCCTGCAGTCGCTATTGCTGCGGGTGATCGCATTCTCGCGAGTTCTGCTGATATGAGCGCCCGCTCCAGCTTCTGCGTTGATTCTGGCTGCTGGTGTCGGTCGCTACCGATGGCGCTCCAGTCGCAACAGTTCTTCGCGCCGGTGCCGTCGTGAGTGAGTCGAATGACATTAACAGCTACGCAACAACGAGACGAATCCTTTCGCACTGCTGCCAGGTATCTCCTGAGTATACCCAGCTTTCTTTGTGCGCAGTGCTCACCACTTGACTGTGTCCAGCTGGATGGTTTTTATCTAATGCGAACTCGGGCCGAACAGGCTCTTTATCACAGTCTCATAGTGCGGACCTAACACTTAACGGTGCCTGTAGTTCCCGAAGTTCTGTGCTTCAGGTATTGAAATACATAGAAGACGTTGAAAAAAGACCGTCAATATCCAGTATCCCATTGCACTGTTGTGATTTATTTTTGCCTAACCTCGTACACTTGCAGCGTCATTGTCTGCTCAGTGTCGCCATATCGTAGGAATGACACATAGTTCCGTCTAGGCGTCTTGATTCTATAGCAAACGGCGCGGTGGGTACAACCTAAATGATACTGACTCTTCGCCAGAAACCCACTGACGTAGTACTTTTAACGTTACTTCAAGTGCGCGCGCTTATCACGATGGGGAGAGATCAAGATCGCCCTCTCCTCCGTAAGCAACGCTTCAGGGATTTCTCATAGTCGTAATAGTGCCATGCGCCTATTCAAAATGCTTCCGTGGACAGAATCTGCCGATCCCAGCCGATAGTTGCCGAGGGGAGCGAAATTATTTTGAAATACGGTAGTCCGCGCTGCTGACTGAATTCCTATATTACAGCTCGATCTCCTTTATTTTAGTCACGACAATGATGCTCATAGGCGCCAACTAATTCAATTAATTGGTTCGTATGTAGGTGAGGGACTCGGCTCGTCAGTACTAACAGAATCATATGTATTGTAGAAATCGTTTAAGTACATTCAGGGTATAATCTTCCATATGAACTTCGTTTGTCAATTGAAATATTATATACAAGACTCAAAACTTTAAACCGGTTATTTATAGTCGTATGTCGAATTGTAAATTCATGTCTTGACGTTTGCAAGAATCCCGTGGCAGGCACATCAAGGCCCTCTTCGGAAATAAGATTTACTTAATATCGTTATTCAACCGCGCGTTTCGGTATACTTCTGACAGCACGCGGGAAGTACGTCGAGGCTATCGCGTGACACCGTTGGCTTTTTTGCCAAATAGTCACTAGAAATAATAATTTGTTTGGAACTCATGCCAGTACGTGCCTTGTTAGCTCGGCCACTTTTGACCAACGACTGTAGATCAAACAACTACGACAACAAAACTAACAAATGACGTTTAGTTATTAAAATTTCCGGATATGTCTGAGGTGGCAATTAGAATTACCCATTCTAAATGGTATTACCTTTGTCGAAACTGTTGTTTAAGGCTACTAAGACAATCTATAATAACTAAACTGAGGTAGGTCGATGTTTTGATGCGCCCAATGCGTTGTGTACGTAAACATAGGCTCTCAGAGGAAACCTATAAGTTTATCGTAATAAATACTGTTATCCCTATTTGTCAGTAGTAGTTCAACAACAGCATAGACGCAACCACATTCGCTTCAAAGATTTTATGCTAGGCAGACAACGTACGCACGACTACGAACTACTTTAGCCCAGTTCATCTAAATTGGGCCTCGCACCCTGTAGACCACTTCTTATCATAAATTGCAGTGGTATTGTACTGCCCATAATTGTTTAACTGCGAGATTATTTTACAACCCAGTGATATAATTATAGGTGATACTGAACCTCTATACTGTCTAGCAGTCTACGGGTAAGCCGGGTCCGTCAAGGTCACTCAAGACTAAACCAAGAGTTTTGTACCGAGACCGCCCAGTGATAATGCATGATGTGCCTAAAACAATAGCTCCAAGCTATAATCAACTAACTAGCGAAGTTACTAACAACTTTACCGGGCACAAATTCCCCAACATTTGATGTTGTAACTTAATTGTTTTACGTTTTCGTATTTTTTTTTGTCTAGAGCGGCGCCAAGCATCGCCCTGACGCGTCTCAATGTCTGTCCGTTGTCCACATCCGATCCACTAGGCGTTTTAACTAGATAAACTTGATAACCTGCCCGTATATAATCCATCCTTGGAACAATATTTGGCATCGAGTATGCTTCACGAGTGTCGTAAACATCTACGTCACCGCTGCCTCATTTTTGAAGGTTGCTGTAGTACTATCTAACCTACAACTAAGGAACTTATATTGACAGTGAGTATTATTTGATAACGTCGACGTGCACGTTTCGCTATGTTATGTCCTGGAACGCTTTCACCGACCAGTTAATCATACCTACGTAAAAATAAATTCGACGTGTTTGCCTACGCAGCTTGCGGTCTGTTGTTTGATCAGTGAAATTTCTAATCCTACTTTTCGGTGTTAGAGTTTTTATGGAAGCGTTACGGCTTGTGAAGACACATTTATGGGTATTGACTGCATTCAGTTACTGGCGTCATAGTTAAGTATGATTTCCGCACTGAGCAGCAATGTACAAACTTTGGATAACTGAAACTTTTATAAATATTTAAACTATACATACAGCACTAACTGTATGTGGAGCTTGGGATCAAGTATTCCGTGATCAACCATTATTCATATAGACCGGTCCGATTTTTAGGGATGAATATTGTACATGGGGCCTCAGCTTAAGACAAAAGCCGGGACCATGACTTAGCGTCCTATATGTCAACAAGAATGCTAGTTGCTTAAAATCGTATGATTTTGCTACGATCAAGTAATTATTAGGTTCTACCCGTTTCCATTTTGTCGCAGTAAAAATAATTAATGTTCTATCGGTCCGCTAACACCTCGACCAGCAACTATAGGCTTGTGGAATAGACGTTACCGTACAACGCAGAAGGCCCTATATAAGAGCATTATTGTATTTTGCAATGGCTGGATTCTGCAGTGAAGAGATCGTGCCTATTAAAACCCTCCTATGAACAATGGAACACCTAGCCGACTACGATGAGCGTGACAGCTGTACCTGTTCTACAAGTACCAGCTATTTAACATCCAAATACTAAATTTACTATGAACTTTTTATATGATATAAACATATCAAGTATCTTTAATCATGTAAATTATGCACAAGCATAAAGAATACTTTCTCCGCTCATTATGTACGTTTTTCATAAGGCCACCTTCGCGCAAAGGGTATAAATGCACAACACTCGATCGGCTGAACAGAGGTATAGTAACCGTCTACTCATGTTATACTCGTGTCTAATATGGCCTTTTCTTTATCACCAGTTAGTCTGTGCCGTTATACTGCTTTAGTTCGTCATACTAAATGGCTGATAATCATTAATGAAGCCTTCAAGTCCCTTCGGTTCTTTAGTTATAAGCGAAAAGGCTCGAATGCAACTTCGAGACTTAGAATGTAGCACTGCTTATACACGCCGCTACATAGTCCTACGCCAATCCAGTTGGCTACGTGCAATCGAACTGGTCGTACCTTCGTTCGTCCGTAATTCCACCTCGAAATTACAATTCTTTTATAAATACAGCAATGCTCACCCTGAACAGGTCACGAAATGGCTGTCGGCAACTACTGACCTTAAAGGTCAAATGAAAATGTATAAGGTAACGCGTTCGGCCTTTGAAAAATGTTGGCTACATCAGGTTCAGTGGTATACATTCACTGCCAAGCGTGTCTTTCTGTTGACACCGGATTTCATGAGAGATGATCAAGATGAGAGGCTCCAGCCTCTGACTTGATCGAAGCGCTGCTTCAGTGAACTGACACTCATATGAATAATGATGGTCATTAACGACGCCTAGAATCACGAATTCTCTGTGTGCCGCGGCCAGATTTATCTTATTCTAATAAAGGGTCATCTATGTAATATCTCTAACAAACAAGAATAGTTTCCACGACGTCTCAGTTTTGCTCGCGTTAATTCATCTTGCAAAAAATCCTCATTGATTTTCTCCCTTCCTTGAAAACAATATGCAGTACAACATTTCTAGTGAATATCTTATGTCTAGTAATTGTAACCTTACAGGCTAAATCTCGCATATAGGCTCTGTTATTGCAAACTTGGCGAAAAAATTGAGCTGCATTGTACAAATTATACCAACCACAGAGATACCTTATACCCTAACAAAATGGTTTCTATGGGAAATACTTGATTTGCTTAATATCAATAAATACGCACCCGCACGAAGAAAACGTGCGTACGTTTTTCGAAACCCATAAAATCGTTACTGTAACTAACACAGGAATAAATGATTTTCTATATGACTTGGCTCTTCATATCTAACCAAGTAGTTCTCTGTACTTTTGTTAAAAAACGACACAGCGTTTTTTTTTTTTTAATAGGGCGAACGCAGGAAAGATTTAAGCACACACAATTTTTTTTTTAGTATTTTACCTTTATTCTTTTCATTTTCCTTAATTCCTCCTCTATAAGCTTTTAAAAGTTTATTTAGCCCGGTACATAGGATGTACTTGTATCGTATTTTCGCCCTGATTCATCTATACTTTACAAAGGAACTTAAATAAGTAACTCGAAAAACAGGCCTTTGAAGTCTTGTTTTAAATGCGCCAGTAATCTGGACTGAATTGCCGAAAATCGAAAATTTCGGAAGTCAGCTTCCAAAGATTTCGCCAGTAACGGAACAATTTCATTAGGTGCTGGCAAAGAACATTTTTTCAACTTATATACTGCTGTCTCACCTTGTCTAGGGTCTCACAGTGAGCCTAACAGAGATAATTAGAGAATATTATAACTAAAGCATGTAAAACTAGTCTTTAAGGTTCAATGTAACTACTCAGTAATCTAGCCGTGAATATGCGCGCAAGTTTTTAAAAAGGTGGTAAGCGGGAATCGAATTCTAAACATTTTTGTATAGATTCCGGCGCTTACTTTCATTATTACTGCATAAGTTACTGTCAAAGCTGAATTTTTATAAAGATACAAACCTTTGGGTGAATGTCGAGCGAACCCTCATTCTGAAAGTTAATTTGCGTCTCTAAAAAAGAACGGTGTCGAGAACAGCTTTGGTAATTTCTGTATGGCGTATGTATACCCCTTCGTGTACCCCCCATGATCTTCCTTTTAAATCATTCCATAAAAGTTTAAATCATTGTAGGTAGAAAAAGGGCGCGGTTTTGCGGACTGCTTTTGGCTGTCGCCGTGTCTGCACTTGCACGTAAGTAATCAGGCTCGATTTTAACTAGTATCTTTTAATTATGTTATGCTGAAGTGAAGTCTCACTATCGATTATGTAGATATATAAAGAGTAAACAAGGAGAAATAGCTAAATAAATTCTGAGTAGTTTCTCATTGTCCTAGATAATATATATATAATATAATAGGTAATGCAAAATCACGACGAATGTTATATTGGACTGAGGTCCTAGCCCTTAAAAAACGAGCAGGAGAAGAATTGTCAGTAAGAGGGCTCTGCAGTAGGAACAAAATTATTTTTTTAAGTGAGCTGGACGCTAAATAGTATTTAGTAGAAAGTATGAACCCAAAATACAGACTGTGGTATAGTTCAGTAATAGTTTGTAGTGAATTGTTTTGGTTAAAAAGACACTGAGCAGCTTTTTTCTACTTTTGTCGTCTATATTATGGCCATATCGACAGTTTCTTTGCTACACGTGCTCTCTGCCACTGCTTAAATAGGTATAATTATCAAGATGTAGGTCTTCAGTAAACTCTTCATTAAAACATGCTTAGAAAATGGAGATAAAATGAATTTTTTCCCAATCAAGCTGTTCAGTTCAAATGGCGCGCCATAAGAATCGCCTGCATTACTAGACTCGACACGAGACACGTTCGCTGGATAACAACAATATTGGATCTGTCCATCTGCCTGGGTTACTCTGTCTCTCTCGCCTATCAGCTGGGCCCTCTCCCATGACACTGGAAAGGGAGCTCGCGTGTTCAGAGGTGCGACGGTTGCTGTTGTTATCGCGTCCCATATGGATAAAACCGAATGCGTGCAGGTCACACTAAAGTGTGTTAAATACGCTTATTCACATCGTTGTGCTTTTTCGATTAACCTATTGTTTTGAATACCTGCTGTTAACGTCTATGTACAAACTTCTGCCTGTTAGTACACGTGTGTGACCGTGAGTGTTGTTGCACCACACGGAAGCATGTCGGTAAGCACTTGACTATCTTAATCTTTAAAGATATTTCTGTGCACCTATCCTAAATAACAATTAGCCATTATCATTCAGTCCAAATTGAACTAGTTTGGCACTTAAGTATCGGTGGGACAAAAAGGTAAAAGTCGCAAAATCAAAGTCGTAGAAGTTGAAACGTTAACATGCTTTGTAAAACGGAAATTATTATTGCTTATCATTACAACTCGGGATATAGCTGTGTGAAGAGACTTATTTTCAATGTGCTACGTGAACTTGTATTAATCAAACTTTATGATAAACTTGCGTAGTTGATTATTACGCTAGATAATGGCTAGTAATATTTTTCTGTAGTTTAAGATCCAGGAAATGGGTAATATCATCAGAAGTGAACCACACCGCTGTTTCCTGTCGAGCAAGTTACCAGATTCGAGTCTAGATCATAGCCTTTTAATTTGGACCGAGTAGTTTGTTAATGTGACGATCTCTAATAAAGAGCTAGCGGCTGAGTCATTGAAATCGACGTTCGTTTTCCATCAATTACCCAACATGAGGTAAAGGATTTTTATATTTAGTTACCTGCTTAGTTTTCAATCACGCAAATAAGTATACAGTTCGGTTCTTTTTTTTGCTTGTATAAAGATCTCCTTTATTTCTTGGCATTTTGTTTAGATAAAGCAGCAATCCAAGCCTTGCCTATATCCGTTAATAATCATCATATTTTAAATTTCACGCCTGACTTACAAATTACTTAATTTGGAAATCATAACCTGGTTGTATACCTAGTTTACAACCACCATTTAATAATAGTTAATCTTTTATTCAAATATATCCTATCATTCCCTTTAAAACCAACAAGAACAGTGATCAACCACGAAGGGAGTGGAGGCTATAGCCACCCTAATCTCTATATTTATGCGGTGCAGCTTACTTCTGCCTGGTCTTAATTTAAGTGAGAAACGACGAGTCATAGTGTTTAATCATTTCAGTAGGCTTCTTCGAACGTCTTCTATACTCTAAACAGAAGTTTGTTTTTAATTATAAACTGGCAATATATTATGGTTTATACTTATATTAGCTCATGCTCGATGATCTATAAGAAAGGCGGCATTCTTATTTAGCATATATTTAGTTAGAATACTATCCGTATCCCAACTTCTAGACACTGTACGTGAAATTATTACGTAATATAGCGCTTGACAGTTCCATTCAGCAACAAGGATCACCCCAACACCAGAAAACGACCTTTTATAGCTTGTTCGCTGATATATTTATCTTTTACACCTTTTTTTTTATACTTTGATTCCATTTTTTCAGCAGGAAAACCAAAGCTTGTCAAGTCATGGCTTCACTGTGCTCTATCGGCTCTCACCAGCTAGCACCGTGGTACGTAAATCTTCGAGCACAAATTTTTTTACGGTTCTTCCATATACTTCAAGGAATTAAATGTATCCGTACACAAGTCCGGGATAAACACCAACCAATGACCATTTGAATTTTGTCTTTGTGTTCGTTGACGCGCTTACCAATTATTAATAGCCCAGTACTTTTCTAAGAAAGAGGTAAGCACATATTGTGATAGGATTTGTCTCAAGGATTTTGCAGCTTGAAAACCTAATAGACCAAGAGACGGCCGGAAATAGTCTAGAAAATATATTACCGTTGGTGATATTTGTATGGCAGTAAAATACGTTCAATTTTTTATATGGAAAGGTTGCTTATATGGAAAGAGTAGGATAAATGTCAGTGAAATCTGTGTTGAAGTTTTTATCGGGACAAACTAGCAGAGTCTCGAAAAACAGGATACTATACATACCGCCACTTGACACTAACCAGTGGTTTTTTACCGAACTGGCAAACATAGCTAATACATGTCTCGATAGCTTAAACTGGTACTTTGGTTCAAAGATGGCGAAAAACAATGTCGATCGAAAGTCGATACTAACGCTCTAAAGACAGGAACCACTATGAAGGTTATGCGAAGATCGTTGGGCGGGAGGAGAGTTTGATGTTTTTAAACTTGTTTCTTGAGAGAAACTCTTATACTGTTTAATGAAAGGGGAAATGTTCTTGGCATTAATCGATATTTTTCGATGAGCTGAGCGGAACCGCAATACATGTTCCCTAATCTGAAATTGTTATTTTGTACATAGGAGCATTATATTGGGCCAACTTTATCCAAAACCAATGTTCCGGGACCGGGATTAACGCGTGAGCAAAGGCAAACATTTAATTTTAAAAGAAGGAATTACGTTGCAAAGATCTATAAAAATAATGTCCTATGTAACACGCTGCTTGACAATCGTCGCAGCAAAGTGATGGTATGCCGCTACATGTTAAACATAATCTATTAAGATCAACAGGTTGTCTGTATCTGTGCTACAAGGATTAATTCATTGTCATAGCCATTTTTGAAGTATTTCGATTGATTCTTTCTTAACAACAACAAATTAATGATGCCAAGGATCTAGGAGTCAAATATTCATCATCGATACCTTAAAACAATTCTTTTATCTCATAATCTAAATACATTTTAGCTATAGTCTTATTGATAATATTTGATAGTATTGTCAAGCCTATTAATAATATTGTATTGTTGCACGGGTTGTGCCAGGTGACACCTTCGCCAGTAGCACTTGAACAGCTTGTCGCTGCAGGGCTAGCTGAACTTTCCGATAAACCTGATGGCAAACTGGACGATATTCGGGTAGGTTGTAGAATGTACATTATATGAAATCTTTTAAGCAACACGTGACTTTCTTGTAAATAGTTTCTTGTAAACTATTATGAGAAGTTACCTATTTAATGACGATGATGGTAATCACAAAACTTGCAGGTAACACGAGGCGGCTACATGGCAGAATTCCTCCCATTGCAGTTACCCACCCGTCAAATGACAGTACTAACTGCCCGACAGGGTCCAGTTACTACCAAAGTCCAAACCGGAGGCAAACACTTTGGCAAGTTTGACGACTACGGAGGTTATTTCGAAAGGGTGTGTGGCATATTTTGTCTAGTTCCTCCAATATATCATTGTTTTTAAAGTCGTCAGTATTTTCATTTCTCTGTTTGAGATATTTTTGTTTAATTTTCTTTGATAGGTCAAAATGTGTTTTCTAGATGATTTCTACACACAACCGAGTGTATTCGCATATAGATTCATATCATTTGAAGCAATCATTGATTCGTCATTAATAGATCGTTGTCAGCAAAATCGTCATTGAATGACAGTGGATTATCCTATTGATGTCTGGTATATCGAATAGAATTGTAGGTGTTCTAGAATAACACAATTGAAATGTCATCAGGATATAAACATTGTTGTAGTAATGCTTTCGTTCAAATTCAATAGAGCCTAGAGTGAATGTCTAACGGTACAGGAAAATGGATATCTGTATTTCAGACCAATTTTGTGGGAATTTTTCTAGTAAAAGTTGGTCCTGTCGTGCAGGAGGAGACGGCAGCAACATCAAACCTTGCTTTAAGCTCGGGGCAAGCGCGAGCAGACGTATCTATTTCCTTCACGCCAACTGTTACTCCGAAAGAGAAGCTGCCTAAGCCTTCACCAACTGCCGATCGAAAAAAACAGCTTTACCGCAGTCTGTTTGATGAAGATGAGGTTGGTATTCCTTCAATTTGGCAAAATTACAGATGTTGCCATCTGTAAGTATAAGTGTTAGGCTAACAGAATACATTCATAATTTTATATTTCTATTAATAATGTAATAGTTCTAAGATCTAAAACTATGCACTTGGAATTGTTTATTTCGCCAACGTAAACACGAGTTCATTACACTTTCTATGTCGCCATATTAGCACCGGTTACCTGATTCTTTGAAGCGTTTTGTTAAGTAAGGAACAGTTTAAATTAGTCTCTCAGCATGCGATAGTACATATGAGTAGCAATGTTCTGTCTACAAAGTATTAAGGTTAGACGATCCACTGAATTGATGTAAAACATGATCGTAATACCAATTGAGATTCTGCATTTCAGGAGGCGGATTCAGCCACAGATTCAAGTTTCAAGGAGAATACAAAGATGCGGGTACGTATAAGTAATGCAACCATTTCTACGCTCCGTTACCTTAAAACTGTTAGCTAACTATAGTCATTATAGTTTGTTGCTCAAAGGACGATTGGTTGCCTCCTCCGTAGACTATCATTGGCTCAGTTATCGTCTACTGGCTGTAACATTAAAAACGACTTATTACTTTCTGAAAGTGATAAAAACCACACAAATATTTTTTTTTGTACTTATTTGTCATACATGCGCGTATGCTCATTCAGGTACGTGTACATAGCTCAAATAAGTCATAAGTTGACACTGTGAAGACGAATCTTGTTGGATGAAAGCTGTCGAGTTTCAGATTCGAGGTTTCAGGCTTGAGTTTGGCAGTAATCCGTGAAAATTAGCTGACGTATTAATAGTGGTTCGTTGTGCAATTATATGGTTAAATACATGGTCCTGCCGATCCTAATAATTATTTACGATGGGTTCCTACAACGCCACGAACATCAAGCTAATTATATAAGTTTTTGCGAATCTGAGAAGTGTACCTTTTTACCTACTTTTTAAAAATTCACGTAGTTGAATACGAAAATTGATTCTTCAAAGACCTAAATGTGGTCCTTATCTGATATCATATTTTTGACGTTGTAATTCCTTTTTCAGAGAAAAAAAAGCCAGGAGAATAAGGACACCAGCCGTGGAGATAATTCGCGAGAGGAACGGCATTCGCGCCAGTCTAAACAGGTTATTGTGTTCATTAATCTTCTGTTAAATTATTCTTTTCCACTTGGCGACAGCCTCTACCACGCTACTTGCGTTAAAAACACTACTGCCCCATGTTGGCTTGCAGGCCTCTTAAATTAACACTTACATCAAACAATTTTCCCAACACCAACCTTTGTCCTTCTGCTAAAGCTGCTGTGTACCTCAATGAGAAAGCGATAAATCTGACTCAACATTTTGTCTGAACTTAAGGAAACCTAAATTTTCATGGATAAGTTAGCATCTTCAAATACTCGTATCTTTTCCAATACATTGTTCAAAACAGGAGTTGCTAACTGATCACAAAAGCATCGGACAGCGTCATGATGTTCCAGTTGAACCGTACTCCCCCTCACGTCACAGCCAGTTCACTGAATCGGATGAAATCACTGCCCCCAGTTATCAACCCACAGCCAAAACGAACAAGAAACTTGTAAAGATCGTCGAGTATGTACCCGAGTATGTTCCAGCGAGTTCATATAGCCAGGTAGGTTTATTTATAACCTTTCAATACTCATTTATTTATTCAGCAACTATGGTGATTGGCTTTAAAAAACTTTAATGGCACAAAGTGAAAAACAGGTAAAGGTAAGTAACAGAAACTATGATGTAGCTACTTATAAATGTACTGTCGCATTTTTTTTATAACAGTGTAGTCAAATCTGTTCCTGGTTGACTGTATATATTTTTGCGCCACCGACGCTGCTGCATGGTTACATCTCACGATGTTTCAGGGAGGCCCTGTTGGTAATAATGACGCCGTAAAGGAATACGTGCCTACAAAACTGTCCAAGATATCCGCATCACTTGGGAGAATTCCGAAGATATCTGCGTATGTGCCTCAGCCAACACAGTCAGCGCCGTAAGTCCATGTATTTTTGCCAAAAACTCACACAAACTATATTTCAACCTGGAATTGCCGGGTGAAAGGCTGAAGAATACACAATAAAAATGATTCCTTCCGTGAAATACAAGTCAACTTCTTATGTACTTAATAAGGTGTAGTGAATAGTGGCATTGTTTTCACTTTTTCCATTGATGCTCAAAATGCGAGCAACTTAAATAAATACTGCTGATAAATATTGCACTATTATTTTTTTATAGATCGCCTTAGACTCGAAAAATACTCAAATTTTTACAATGTTTTTATCGCTGTATAACTCCAGAATTGATGGACAAGCTTGTCCGACTTACAAGCCGGGTGCGCTACGACGTGTAGCAGGTGGTCCCGCAGCAGAAACATCAGCAGATGAATACGAGCCTGCGATGCCACCTGGTCAATATCACCATTTTGCCTATAAACCCAGCACTCAACGATCTAGTCGCAGGTTCGCAATAAGGTTACGACGAGCGCCTCTGGACTTTTAGAAATTGACTATCAGATCTTTAGCATCTTTGTAACGTCAGTGTTTCAATTATTATAATGGTTTCCACATTTGATGATTACCGCTTTATAATCACGATAATACAAAACTGACGTATTGATGTTTTTGCTTACAGACCGGATGACGATGATAATCCAAATGGAAGTTTGTCGTCCCTCTATGAACCTACAGGGGGTGAATCTGGTTCGGTTATGTTAGAGTATCAGTAGGTGTCTCAGATGAACTCGGATCATTCTTTTTCTACTAACTCGTCTTATTATTCATTGACAAGTATAAATTTCTCTACAAAAACTCGTTGTACGTTTTATATCAGCCTGATCCTTGAGTGTGGTTTTAAAGTCTTTAGTATTGAACTAAGCACAGGCAACTTTGACTCTAATTGTCTGATATTTTTTTTATATGACATAGCCCATCCCGAATTTTGAAACCAGTGAAGGATGTAGACCCGGACGAGCACGTCAAATTACGATCGCGTAGAAGCAATCTCAGTTCTTCGCCATCTCCGCTACCAGAAACAACAACAGCTCCCAAACGAAAAGATACCGAGTCAGCCGGACGAACCGTACGGCAACAGTCATTCCATCCATGTCAGCGGATTGGCGGAGTCCCGGAAAAATGCCTTATGCCGGTTAGTTGAACAGATGTATTTCGAGATATACAAATAAATGCGTTGAAATATAGGTCATGTACTGCTGTTAGCCACTGCTTCAGACATATTTAGCTTATACGTTCCTTTATTTATTATGTATGACTTTTTTTTCGTTAAGTGGTGCTATTCGCCAAGAGTTTGAAGGGTCGAAAGACGCAAGCAACAACTGTAAACGACTTTAAACACAAATCGTGCATACTACCATGTTATTCGAAGCTGCATTTGTATTAAGTCACGTAAGGAGAGTTCGTCATTTTAGGTGGTTAAGTCCGAGGTACCTAACACAGGACCACAAGCTAACGTTTTCGCTATATTTGGTGTTCTTTCTCTGTCTTGCTGTCGTGTGCGTGTTTGTGTTTGTAAACTATTGTGGTGTATGAACAGGGCAAAAGCTAATCGTAATGAGCTGCACTTAAATCAAATGTAATCTAATTGTATTTGCTTATTGAGTCCTTCGATTGATCATAGGACCGAAGCTATTACACTTCAACATCCAGATTTAAGTCTTTGTATGTATCTTGCGGTAGAGCTTCGACCGTAAAGACTCTATTCAGCATTTCCTTATTCGTTTGGATATCATCACCCTAATCTTTGCCTCTCTCCTCTCCCGATCTCCCTCGACCTTTAATCAAGTACATTAATTACATACAGAAATCTCGAAGGGAGTACAAATGAGGGGGTTTGGAAAATACGATATATCGGAGGCCATTTTTTGTCGGGATGGCATTTCTGTACATACAGGAGGAGTGCTTCGACTGGTGCTCCGGTATCCTACAGGACCGGTTTGTACCACAACAACCAGATGGATGTTACATTGTGTCGGATGAGCAAAGTGAGTTTGATAGCCAGATTCGAAATGCTGGGAATGTGCGTAATCTTGAAGATGATCACATCAGGTAAGATTAGGATACTCAAGCGCAAGCCCGATCTTATATTTGAAATCAGTCCGCATTTAATTCATATTGTCTAATCATACCTACAATTTGCCATATTTGTAAACATCCCACGGACAAACACTGTGATCGAGTGTATAGGGAGATAATGTTATATTTTACTGTATTAGGTTCGTGTTCTATCGCCTCGAGAATCATCTTTTGGATATTCCTCGTGGCAATCCGAACGACTTTCACAAATTGTTTATGGCTGACCACCGAGATGTACTCAGGTTTACCCTGCCAATAAAGGTACATATGGGCAACCTTTTGATATTTTCTTAAAAATCTGAGGAACATATGCACCACAGTCAACTCATGTTTATTGATTACTATTGGTATTCTTTAACATGTATTCGCAGGCTTTTAAACAATGTCAACAAACATTGGTCCGGAATCTACTTAGTGACAACTTCAGCGCTCGACGTGGATTTGACATACAATACGCTATTCTGGTCCTCATGCCCGAAGTAAATCTTTATACCTCGCTTGAAATTAGTTTTTCTTAGCCATAGAGGCCCTGTCTTCATGCCTGCAAAGATATTCAGCTTGCAAATCTCAAGGGGGTGCTTAATAGATGTAATGGCACACATTATTCGCTTGCTTCAAAAGTTCGCTACTTGGTACATTAACAACCAGTTAAAATTTATTCATTCAGTTTATATGCAATATGGTGTATACACAATATCTGCGAGTAATAACGTTTAGCTGATATTGAAATCTATTTGTGGTATGACTTTTACATGTAATATTACAATATGTAATTGCCAAAACTGGAACTTCTTACTACTAGGGTTATAGATTATTGAAATTACGAAGAAAGTGTAAATCTAATTTTTAATTTTGTTCTATAATAGGTGCTCATTCATTTGCACATGGCCGTACATGGCAGCTCATACGCTGATAGCTGGAAGGTTCTCGATCCGGGAGTTTACAACTGGCCAGCTGTACTAAATCTTATCAAGGGATCTACCTTCTGACTAACGAATTTGTTCGTAGTGCCGTTTTATTTTGAAGCAATTAGATATTCTGTGCTGCCTTTACTCAAAATATTTATCTGTGCTTCTAGTGCTACATGAAACAGCGAAGCTGATGACGCTTTTGCAGTGATACATCCTATGCATTTGCTCCTGATGAAGATAAGTTCGAGAAGAATATTTGTGGCACTGATATGAGCTCATCCTAAGCGAGTCAATTAACCCTAACTCCTGGTCATCAAAAGCAAGAGAGTGCTTTTGGTACTTGTTAAGTTAGCATATGGAATAAAATTGTGAATTATTCTGAAAATTTATTGGATGTGAGCCCACTTCAACTAAGCCATAATTAGCATTATTTTACTACTACTACTACTGTAGCTGACATCGTTTTATGCTTTGGTTGAAATTTCAGCATATCGGGCTAATGTATTTGCTGCTTAAAGGTATCAAAGGTTATTACTTGTATGGACTAGGTGCATTTAAGGATTCTGTATATGTAGTCATGTAAAAAATTATCAGTATGAAGTGATTACACATAGTAGTAGCCCTTACAAAACAAAAGCAGCGTGATGTATGTTAATAGTTACTGTGAAATTGAATATCCGAACGCAATTCCGATTTATTTTATCTACTAAACCTTTTTGGATTTAGTGCGGCATATTCTATCTAAATCGTTTTAAGGTACATAGTGCGGTCACTTTGGGTAAACTTAGAAGTGTTGTATGTAGAAAAAAAATATTGTAATCCATACCTGATAGCTTCTAGCAACAAACACATTAAAGGTGCAATGTAGCAACGTCGCATCACAACGGCGGCGACAAGGTATGGAGCCCAACATAGTTATTGAGTGATACAGGACTTCGTAATAGACTATGTTCTAGTCTAGGGCTTTTGAAAACAAGCCGAATTATTTACAATATTGCATTACTCGAATACGCCAAAAGAATTGCTCATATTGTGAATGCTTGGTGAGACTAATTCATACATATTTTAAGATCATACATATGAGTCCCAGAGATCGAATTGGCAGGCCCTACGTGTAAATATCAAGGATAAATCAAGCGGGTCATTCGGAATATAACATTATCTATCCATGGAGATCCATATGGGAGTGTTTTATGAAATTATATATATTCTATATAGATTGTTTAATAAATAACGTAAACTCCATGAAATTTAGTACTTTTATCTAGTAGTATACTGGAGTGTTAACTTCAGTGAATTCCCGAACTATAATGTATATATATATATCCCTATGTTGTTTCAGAATATCCTAGGCTCTATTCATTAAATACATTTTACGGTGCCGTTGAGTTAGATTATGATTTCTACTGGCTGGGTTTTATTATGAGACTAAGCTGTAAATTCTCTAGGCCTTCGGCTACTCTGGTACTCAATGGGAAAATCCTAAATGTGCATAGAACTACTTGCACCGTTCAGATGTTTTCCTAATACGATTAGTTCTTTTTTCAGGACCTGTTTAAATTTTTGGATGAAAAATCGTCCCGTCAAAATATAAGACTATTTTTAAATTTAATTACGTAAAAGTTGAGAACGCTAATTTTTTCAGTGGCGACTCTTAAGAGAATCAGGTCTGTCACCAAATGTTATTGATTTCTCACTAGTATTTTGGATACCAGGAACTACACATCTAATAGAATAAGAAAAAGATGCTCATATTTAATCGAAAGTATTGACTCCTGTAATTTTCACATTCTCCCAAAATGTATGAGGTGATACTCTTCAACTACATGAGGTCACTGTTTTACAAAATTTTGAATAATGTAAAAAATTTTTAAAGCTAGTGTTCATTGTAAATATGGAATTTTCTCCGCGATAGTGCTGAATGTTAACGTGCTTGCCAAGTAAACTTAGGAATACGTGAGAATCTAGGTTTAAACCTGAGAAGGTTATTGACACGGGAGATTTTTGAGTTCTAATCTGAAGGAGGAATGCTACCTTAGATCTATATAGAAAAATATAGTATCATAGCATAGACTACCATGCGAGTAAAATGCAACTAAAGCTACCGGCTAAATAACGGCTGACCTCCAAAGGTTACTGAAAACATCTTGTACTGCAGCATTTTATAAGACAGTTATGCTAAAACCATAGTAGGACAGCTATGGATTATATGATATTGTAGTTCCATTATATTTTTTATGTAACTATTTTCGACGTAATACTGTTTTACATGTTCAACATTTCAGAAATCTGTTATGTGACCGAAATTGTACATACGGACCTGCTGTTTAGTTTATTTAAACTAAACAATTACTCTGAATCTGAACAAAATCTGAAGACAGAATAGGTATTATATATCGGAGAAAAAGAGATTAGGTAAGGCTTCAAGAGTAGAGCTGGGCGATTTAGATAGCGGAAGACATAGGATTTTGAGTGCGAAGAAATAAGAGAGAAATAGTTTATATTGACCCCTATTACCATATCTACAGCAAAAAATTAAACTTTGTAGGCCAGTTGTCAAGTAAGAAACGCATGATGTAGAAGAAGACATTTGTTGTAAGGGGAATTTCATAACATAAGATATACACCATATAAACCGCTAATTTAAAATGGAGTAGAGGTAAGCGATCTAAATAAATGTCCAAAATTCTCGCTGTCAAAACTTTGCGAAAACTGTGAGTCAACATAAAGTAGGGGAACATCAATAGTCGACACGACTCGTTTAAAAAAATTTATATTTTTTAATATCATGGAAGAGAAAACGCCTTGAAGAATGTAGTAAATCGCCTGTCAAGTTCTCCGTATGAGTATGGATGTTGATTTTCTAAACTTGTTTGATCCGTGCAATGACGCGGATCATTATGAAGTTGCACGCTGCAAACTTCTTTCAAAGGATAAACAAGCTTACGAAACCGAACGCCTTACGTAAATCTAATAATATTGCTAAAAAGTTACCTCCGCAAACCGTCACCTGTTTAAGCTTGGACATATATGATTTCATATAACTCATGCAAGAGTTATCTATTTGCTGTAAGCTTCAATTACATTTGCAATGCGTCTCGAAGGGTCTATGAGCAACGCACAGTCAAAACCAATATCTCGTGTGCGTTGTATTAGGTTTAAAGACTTGAACGCTTACTGATCACTCGGAATTTGCCTTAATGCATACGAATGTATCTGTTGCCGTGTTTGTTCTGTAGTTGCTGCTGAGATGGCTGACCCAGGTCAGGTATATTGACCGCTCTTGTTCTTTCTAGCAAAATGTACGTTTGCATTGGATGAAGAAAACAACGTAGTTATCTCGAATTCGCGTACAGAAAATCAGTTTAAATTGGTTTCAGAGTAGAAAGACATCAATAACAGACCAAGAAGTCTTACGCTCTTGATTTCTATATGAAAAGCACAAGCATATATGTATGCTTGCGTCTTTCATATAGGATTTATATGTAACGCAAAACATTCCCGACTTGTTTTAGACTATTCTTGAATTGTCAGAAACTTGATTAAAAATTCGCATTCATACTTCTTCAAGAAAAATTGTCGCTTGCACCTCGTTATTGTTTATCCATAGATGCACTGAACTTATGCTAGCAAATCATTACTCACCATCGTCTTCATTAACAAAGAGCTTAATGTTACATCCATTAGTGAAGTGCAAGCCATGCTAGTATATATATATGTATATATATATATATATAATATAGTAAGACGGGGACGACAATTATGTGGCGAGACAGTTTACACAATGCGAGTTCTGCTTGGAATGCGTAAACCCGTTGATTCGATGAGAAGATCGACCTTCTCAGCAGACTCGAACTCTTTCCCGAATAGGTATAATGAGAATTCGTGAACGTATAAGCTGTGATGGGATTGTGCTTCAAGTCACCGTGTGTACGGAATCCCACGTAAAAAAAGACCTAAAGAGTAGGTTTGCGTGTTGCTAGCATGCCCTAAAAGACAACGTGCTCTGTCATTACGGTGCTGTGATATGGTAAATTGGTAAAAGCAGATATCCTCAGTTACATACATGTCACTGTTAATAATTAGGGCTTAATAATTAGCAATTTGAACGAATAATTAGAACCGGCGTGCTTTTGATCGCTACGTGTAAGGATCCCAAAGAACAGACTAGTTTCGTTTTATTCGAAAACACACATTTTCTGCAGTACGTAACGCAAATATTCATTGCTAATTTTAGGTAGCTATTGCTATTAGGTTTTGGGAAATCTCACTAATTATTTACTTTTTGGAACTGCTTTTCTAGCGGATTAGAGCTTTCTTCTGTACACTGATACGCAGTTATATAATAATTTTGCCGTCGGAAAAAGCACATCGCCTGCGCGGTGTGGATTTTTTTCATTTATTCATTTGCTGACAAATGAATTGTAATGGCGAGAAACCTTTGAAAATAATCTGCTTTGACCCAGATAATATACTACCTCAACCAACTCCGAGCTGTTTTTCAATAATAACGGTTACCCTGTGCGCTACACTGTTGGTATATGCAGCTAGCCACTCCGCACAGTTACATTGTATTGTGATATGTAGCTTTTCATTGTAGGAATTTCTTCTTAAAAAGTGCTAAAAGCTAAAAAGTGCCCTACTCAGTCGTTAGACGGTTAGAAATTGTAGCGCCGCAAGCTTTCTCTATTATGCGATTTCCAGCAGTCTTATTATTCCCGTTAAGAATAAGATATTCCACATTTTTATTTCCCTAGTGCAACGACCAAATGATTTGCAGGTCTTTTTGTTATCTTCATCTTGCTGTCGGTTGTCTCACTTCGCTTCTTTTTTTTTAACAGCTATTAGTAGTACGAAATTTAGGAGCATCCATTTCGAATCAGTGTCTTCATGCCGATATATGAACTCGAACGATATATTGACAGACCCAGTCTGGCTAGCTATTACTCCCGTAACGGCCTTTTTAACGCAACTTAAACGTTTTTCGAAAACAATTTTAGCTTTGTTGAGCCCTAAATTAGCCCCTTGTGCATCTGATAAAATGTTATTCATTAATAACACTATGAGAAGGTAGCGCCATTTCGTAATCTCGACCACTTAGGCCCACCTGTCGAAAATACACTAGAAGACCTTATGAATCGGTATCAATTGGACTTGCCCACGTTGTATTTTGTAGAACGTAGCTATTTCAGCAAATGGTCGATGTATACGATACCAATGATTCGACACCGAATGTCATACACTACTTCATTTTAACCAGTATATTAGAATGGCTCAGCACGCTTGTAACTGTTACTTTTATAATGCCTTTGGCACTGTATACTTTACCGCTATATTACATCGACCTGTTCAAGGCCTTGACATGCTGCGCTATATCCGGCATACCGCTTTCACACTCTGGGATCGTGCTTAGGTTAAAAGATAGAACTTGATGCGGCTAGAGATGCACAATTTGTGTGACGCAATACTTATATATTTTCAGCTCGTATCAATATATATATCTATTTACAGTTCGAGCAGTTGGATAAGAATGGTATGGCGAGGATTGTCATTGACGAGGCAAAGGGCCTTTACGCTTACAATGACGTAAAAAAACTATTTTTCTGCCATTAACTGATGTGTTTAAAATCTGGGTCATTTACAATTTGCTAAACAGTCAATGTGAAACATTAGCTTCTTTGACAAGGATTTAAAGCTGACTTGGCAATCAGGTGCGCCACGTATCGGTCGAATTCTGTCATTCCACTGTGCCTATTTAACCCGAGCTATACATAATAGAAAATATGACAGTACAGTACGCTATTGACTGCGATGGCAAAGTCTGGTCACACGAAATTGATGAAGATTTTGAAGCGCTCAAATCAACGGTTGAAAGCTTCGACAGAGCGTTCGTATACATGCCGTTGGCGACTTTTAGATTGCTCGGTGATTAATAAGGACCTTTCATTGGTTCAGGATCGGATCCTATCTACCATCTGAGAGCTCTTTTCCTACTTTAACGCTCTTGACACGGTTTTTGTCAATGGTAAAATTTCACTTTGAAGACTTGGACTCCGTGGATGGATATATCGAATGAAAAAGCAGGTAAATTGCTACACTGACTTCTCGCCGATGTCAAAAAGCTGCGGGACGAAACTTGTCTCGTTTACGATGAAGAAGTAATATGGTATCATTAAAAGTGGTCTAAGACCGTTCTAGTTGAACTAGAAAATTTCAGTGACCCAAGCAGGCCCAAAATGCCGTGTATGCGCATAAAAAAGCCACTTTTAAGTAACATATTCAGAGACTGAAGAGTACTTGTGGTACACGCCATATTTAAGCGTTTCGACAACGTTTTCAGCTCGGGGCGGATGGAATAGGTGCCGAGAATGCCATTGAATATACCCATCTTTGGAGCCCGAACTCAAGGTAGAATATTACTAAATCCAAATAAACAACAACCCTATAAGGCCAAAATATGATGATTAACAATAAAAGAGAAGGAAATGATAAACAAAAGCAGCCATTACTTTAAGAACAATCTAGTAGATCAACTAATAAAAATCAGATGAAGCTTGCAGTGACTAAAACGCCCATTTGAAAAACAATTCTAAAGTGGCTTCCATGTTTATAGTGAAGAAGGCGACCTCTAACTGCATTTCGTGTAGCTTACGTGTAATGAAGCTTAAACGAGCTACATTTTGGGACATTCTACAAACGAGCCAGGATGAGCCATTTACTTTATCTGATTATACCCGCTGCTAACAGGCGATTTGACGCAATGTCAATGCTTACTTCAGGATGACAAATTCTATTAAAAGGGTAGCAGTTCTGAGTAGATTACTATGTTCATTTGCATCGATTGCTGTAGGTATGAAACGACCCTTTGAAAGATATTCGTAAACTTCATTTAGTAGCAACCTTCGAAACGGTGATTATCAAGTGTTTTCTTGGTCAATCTTAGTGACGACAGTAATTCATACTAAATAAAAAGAAAATAAATAGTACTTGAAGTCAGAGTAGTAGGCGGTCTTGTGATAACCAAAACTGCGCCAAAATAAGAGTAATGTTATGATGCTTTGCACATTTTCTCAGAATACCCAAATGTAAAAATATATTTCTCTGTTCTCTGAAAAAGAGCCAAAGCAGCACAGTTTAGCTTCGAATTCACTTTTTGTCATGCCATTGCTGTACAAGTACAACTTTGTGTTCGTGGTGTGGCGTAAGGATCCATGTACCTTGCGCGTGATTGAAAGGGCGAGCGATAGGGCCCTATAAAGGCTGCCATGACGATATGTAATCTGTCTTTATTCTGTTTACCTAATCTAAGTGGCACAACGAACGAAACCTCTGATGGCCATCAAACTTGATTCAAGCGATTTACTGCAATATAAGTGACTCCCCTGTAAAGATTCTTACGTTGACAATAAGCACTATTGCATTTGATATTGATGTGATAAGCCGCTGCCATTACGGCCGCAGGATCTTGTAGCGATTTCGTTTAAAAAAATGTTTAGCAAAAGCGCTTATCTAGAAGTTTTTGGATCGCTGATCTAAGCTTCACTATATGACGCATTCTCTCAACGAATTGTGTCACGCGGGGCTGAATAAAATAAAAACAATGTTTAAAACAGAGTGCTTAATTTGAGCCGAATTCTTATTCTTAAACAATGTATAAGGCCTAAATAGGACGTCGACTAAATTATTGGTATTTGAGGTCCGACACGCGCTTCTGTCGGAATGGCGCATTAGTCACTGTCTAATGTAAGGATCTTCTCGTGAGCGAAACCTTTGGATTAGGTGACGTAAACAGTCCACCTATCTATAACAGTTCCTATTCTTATTTATACTCGCAATTGGGAGATATTTGACACAAAAAACAGTAACATTGTCCAGTCATTTGGTGGATGTTTGCGGACTTGCAGGAGTCATCAGTAGAACTCTAAATAGAAAATGCCAATGATCTTACCTTAGAGAACATCGGAAAGGCCATAATAAAAACTGGTATTTAAACCAATATTTATGCTGCTGGACGGTAAACGATATTGTCATAGTAAATAAAACCAAAACATTTCCGATCCTACTGTTATATCGCTTGTTTTTTACCGTTCTTCTCCATCCCGTAGGTCAACTGCATTCTCGGTAAATGTGCATTTGACATTGAATTTTGCTTGTCTTTTATAATTTTCAGCAGGAAGTCTTGAATAAACCTTTTCTACGCTCTAAAGCCATTGACACAAGTATTAAGAGCTTCGTAAAATGTACGCCTACACTACAGGATATAGCCGTGAATGAAGGTTATCAAGCGTGACAATTGCAATTGCTTGACGAAACCGTTCTTTAAGGCTATCTAGGTAAACTCTAGGCAACAACAAGATTTTGCGCTATAGCTGAGTATCAAGGAATATCCGATCTTAACGAAAATAAGCATTACATGATATCTTTTCCGCTTTTCGTCGTTAACTTTTTTGCATTTAATTTGAAGAAGATCAAAAACCCCCGTATCTTCTAACGATTCGGATTAAACCTCACATCAGATACCATAGGGACATTAATGAATGCAAATGTGAAATTCGATTAATGCAAAAATGTAAAAAAAAAAAACGCTTTATTTAACTTCTTATGATATTTGGAATGATATGGGGATTTGGTAACTAGCAGCGAAATTCAAAATAACATAAATCAATAAACAATGCTACCGATGCAAGCCACTACAACATTTTTTCAAAATTAGTATTAATATAGCTTTGGTATAATTACAGAGTTAAAACACAATACAACACTGCGCATCCCAAAGCACGCGTCTCTGTGCTACAGCAGAACGAACGGGCACTTTACACGTAGAAACAAACACAACTGTGTGGAGATCTACCTGTCGTTCATAAACGTTTTGTCCATTGGTAGCGCCGAATTTCGATCCGATACAATATTCATTGCGCTTTCGTAGATTTACAGATCTGTAGAACATTAATGAGTGACTTCAGGTGATATCAACTTCTCTTAATTAGTGCAAGTTATTAAATTTTTAGCATAATTTTGCAACAAACACATTCTGCCAATATTGCCCAGCAGGTATTCCGCACACGCGTGTTATGTCTAGACTTACACACGTATCTTATCATCCAAACACAAAATATATTATTAGGTAAAGTGTACCTCGTTCTATTTACAGCCTCGCTATTATTTCTACGTATGGAGCATTTTAACTGGTTTCCCAACTAAATTCATGTTGGGGAATAATGCACTTTCAAGTATTCTTTTCTCCGTGTACGTCAATAACATGACCTTTGATCACCCATTTCGAGAAGACGCCGTAACAATTTTCATTGCTAGCAAGTTTGCCACACTTTTCTTCTTTTTTTTCTTTTGCTAATCCCCTTAGGTTTATGCTGTAATGCAGCGATTATGCGTTGCCGCAATGGCTGATTAGTCAAATCTATTTTTCTAATGTGCTTCGTGCCATATAATCGTAAAAGGCTCGTCTACTTTATATGTATCGTCTGCCAATGACTCCACATGCAGGCACGTAGGTAAATTAATTATTAATGGCTACAAGTGGCCATGAAAGAAAAAAGTTGTATTCATACGAACATAACACATTTGATTTATGGAAACAAGCCCTCTTGTCTTCTTGTTGAGGGACTGAATTAATACTTCTTATTGAATAAACACGGCTTTTTTTCCAATTAATCTCGTTGGGCAAAATGATGCCCACGTCCGACGTCACGCTGATCAGAATGAGCCTCATGCTGATATGAATATTGTATAGGACATCATAATTAGGGACACCCTCAAGCAGCTTGGTGGACGTTACAGAATACGATGTCGATGACGCCATTTAGGCGCCACCTTGTTGAACTCTGAATGCTCTTTATACTTTGTCTGACCAATATGGCGGCGGCTGGATTGTCCTTAGGCAGATTTTTTCTTGATGTAGGTTTGGATGTCACGAGTAAGGCTCGGAATTCGTGTCACTGCTTGATCAGTTAAGGGAAACCCATTCAAATACTCCATATGGTGGGACACAATCGAAGGCATATTCGACAGTCTGTGCTGCAATTGTTTATCAATTGTGTCTTGAGCAATCAACGCAGTGGCTTCAGACATATGGTTATGTGGCCGACCGTCATACGCTATCATGACGGGAATGTAGGGAAACGATTTTGAGGAATCAGTAGACTGCTGTAGTGTCGCTTTCCGGAAGGATGCTTGAAACCCGGCCGGTGTTTGAAGGTCCGTCTGCAGTAAGATGCCAATATTGTTAATTAATGCTTTTGTTATTCTTAGCCTGTTGCACTCCGTCTTCGAACAACTGGTCCTTCACATTACAGTCTCCTTTAGCGAGCCCTGAGTTAATCCAACGCTCTACTGTAGTTCTGTACTTCAGCTAAATTAGCATGATTCTTTGTGCAAAAGAGGATTTAAATGCAGTTTGATGAACATATATTTAACACTGTTCTCATAATTATATTTGTAATAACAGCGTTTAAATTGGATCAGCTAATCTCAATATTGTAGGACACTTACTTGATGAAGCGCGTGTTGTTGTGGTATAATGTAAGCCTGTGTCTTCGAGTATAACTATAGAAAAAAATCACAACATAGTAAAAACAATATGTTACTGCTTTTGCGCTAACCAATGAAACGTAATCAAAGGTAATTCACAACGGATATATTGGGTACAAGCAAATAGCCAGATGCGTGATATCCATCCCAGTATAAAAAGGCATAGGCACAATATCAGCTATACAATTTACGTAGTATATGATGCAGAATCTTCATAAATTCTTACTTTTCCATCCGTTGGTTGTTACGAGTCGGTACGAAAATAAAATGATAATGCATTAATACGCAGACTAAGGCACCCTAGGATTTTTAATTAGGGATAAACTCAAAGATATATAGGTCTTTACCGGAACATGCGCATATATGTTACAAGAAACTTCACCTACCTTGATGTTGCTAATTTTGTAAACATAAAAAGAGAAAAATATACTACCTATTACATATATCAAATCACCATAAAAAGAAAAGTTCGGGACACTTTAGGGAAACCTTGTTTCAAAACATGTTCATATAACATTTTGGTGTATTTATCCTTGTCGTAGTGATAACATGTTTGTCTACCAAAGTTAACACCATATATTCGTCTAGGTTTGAGAGCAGGCCTACACACCCCCGTTTCGAACTAGGAGCCATTCATTTGAAGCTATAATTAACGACCGTACCGTACCGCACGTAGTACTTGAAAGATTGTGTCTATCCGTTTTTCATCATATAGAAGAAATGTAGGTATCACATATAAAACAAATCTTCCTTATAACTGTACGTGGAACTTTGCATGGAATACTTCGCAAAGATAAACAGAGAATTTTTCATCAATGTAAGGTATATTTTACACAGGCCTTTGTCGTATACTCTGTCCTATCGTCGTTTTAGAAAATTGGTCTTTGGTTTTGAACCTTATGCATATCTAAGAGTTCAGTTGCGTGTTATTAATCACTTTCGAACAGAAACGCTGGGAAGATAATGCATAACATTACTTCTGAACATGACATATCGAACAAGCTACTAGTGGCGAAAAAACATGGCCAAATCTGCCTGTCCATCTATCGATGTACCGTATGATCCTCTCGGGGTGTTACAGCGCTGGCCCTAACTGTGAAATGGCGCTCCTTGCGCAAGTTTTGGCTCCGTGGAAGTGTTGCACCGCGGTAAGCGGAAGCTTCAACACTAGACCGACCGTCGTGACGCTTAGCATGGCTCTGCCTAAAATGCTGCTTGAAGTCGTATTCCAGCGACTGGGCATCAGTTCCCACTGATATCTCCTAGGAAAGTTAAAAGAAAGAAAAAAAGATGTTTACGCTATAACAAATTGTTAGAATCACTCGTTATCGATTTAAGATCCCATGGTAGTATTCGGAGTCGTATAGGTAGCTGACATGGCTTTATATGTTCCCTTAAAGTAAAACAGTCATTAGAACAAATATGCCTTTCAACTATATACGATTATTTTATTTATCCTAACAATCAATGCGCCACTACGATTTGGCACTCTATAGTTTGTACAGTAAACACATATCAAAAATTAATCAGCAGAACTTCCGAATCACGTGTATTTTCCATTCCATTAACTAGCCAGTTGGGTGAACTCGGCACTCAGTTGTATTAAGTTAGCAACATACAAAAGATCAGGTGTTCGTTTGGTGCTTTTGATCAGAGCGTCGGCTACCGACATCAGACAAATGTAACAGTAAACTGTCTTTTACATGCATTTCAATTACTTATTTTTGCACTGCTGAGCAAAATACTGCCACGGATCAAAAAACTTATTTGCGGCAGATGCTGTTTTTCTTTTATCAAGGTAAAGGTCGTATGGCATCGCCGGTCTGTTCAGTTTAGAGGCGTTAATGATAAAAGATACACTTATGTAAATAGATAATTATGTCACCTTATACAATTCAACAAATGCCACTAGAAATGTTTTTTTTGTGTGATGTCACGCGTCTGTGGCCATCCTAGCTTTTTTTATTTCGCTCCAAAGGACCCCTCCAACAAATGCCTTACAATGTTTCTTTTGAATATAGTCAAATAATATTGCGAAAAGCCATTTGTAAATATGGAATTATCTTTTTTCTTGACATTTCAAAAGTACGGGTTAGTTTACTTTGAGAATAGAAGTGGATCATCTCACAGATGGTCGGGTGCGTTTCTAAGTAGCCTAATAGTAAAAGCATGTTTTTTAGTTACAGTTTAATTGTTTAGACAATTTAAGTTATTTCGCTTGCGAAATTTTCTGATTTATGTTCCCGTTTACGAATAGTATAAAAAGTTTTCAAACGCTTGCCTCCATACGCACCAAAACTAGGCCTAAAATCTTGAAAATAAAATAGATGACGCACCCTATTATCCGCCGGGTTAATTACCCGGTAAATGGGCCCCGCATTTTGCGTGGAATGCTGTGATTTTTCGTCAGGAATTGTGTTTGGACCATCAGACTGACGCTGCAAGCGTCCATCGTCCGTGTCGTCCATCTCAACTGCAATCTTCGATTTCGGTAAGGGAATATGTGCAAGGAGAACATCATCCGATGGCTCTTCTTCTTCCTCCTAAAAAAAACATGTTCTAGGATTCATAATCTGTATAGAGTTTACAATTTATAATGCTGCCATAAAGTGTTTTGTAGACAACCCCTATACGAGCCATATATTTCGAGATTATTATCAAAAATTAATAGCGATAGTCGCAAAGCAGGCCCATGCTAGGGTATAGAGAGTATAACATCAGCAAAAAAATTTAAAGAAATTGCCTTACGGCACATTTCCTAAACAGGAAATCTTTGCGGGAAATGTCAGATTTGACTCTTCGCCGAAACACGCTTTGTCGACAATACAAGGTCTTGTTAATAATAAGATTGAATACATTCTCAACTGTTTCAATAGGCAGTGGCCCACATAACAATGTCCAAATATATTCTTTCAATATATTTATGTATTTTTCTATCGAAAAAGAGATATTTCTTAGAGTGAGCAGTAGTTGCGCAGTTTGAAACAGATATCTGCCAGACCCGCCTTGAAAAATACGCAGAGGATAAATGCAGAAGAGATAGAAATGTTTCGTAAAAACCGAGCGCTACCTTTCCTGTCGAATGCTGCTGGGCATTCTGCGAGGTGTAGTGGGCAGTTTCGCCGTAAGTATATCCATGTTGCTGGGGGTGTTGTTGTCCTAGATGCGTTGGAAATGGCGTATGTCGGCCTGAGCCGGCTTGCTCGGTCGAAGCAGCCCCTTTTGTGTTGCGAGCACCTTGCTGTTCATCTGCATACACGTACTGGACCTGTTCATGTCTAACCCATGAATAAATTGGTATAAATGAATTAAGGCTTTTCTATGATCCTTATGCGTCATCCATGCTGTACCTATCTATCTATCTATCTAGCTGCTGGCCGCTTAATAAATCAGTTGAGCCGAGAAATATGTGTATCCCAACAACATAAAAGCCATTAAATTTCTAACTTCGCATAATTCGTCATATTTTTGGAGAAATCCTAAAGTCTATTTGAACACCTAATGTTAAACTGTAGACAACTTGCAGATGCGTTTCCCTTCAACATATATATCTTGCTTTCAATTCTCGTTCGACTCTTGGCCTTTAACGCTTCTCCCCACTGATTAAATCCTCATCCTTTCATGAAAGTAATGTAACATCTCGCTGCCAGCATCGGTATTCGGTGTTGTTGACACAGAATAGCAGCACCCTTGCGAGAGTTGACTCTGATTGTTACGTCGGAATTTAAAACTTCTTTGAGCTTTTCTTGACGCCAGAGAACTAACAAGGTCATTTCCTAACGGCCTTCATGCTGATACGCGTCGTATACGCTTGCAATGGACGTCACTGATGTATGCGTTGGAGTAGCGAAAGAAAATAAAAGATAAAATGTGCATGGTTGTATGTGGCAAACCGTATTAATCGTCGGAAGACGTTTCATATAAAATAGAAATGTTGGTCTTTATACCCAATCGGTTGTTGCTGATGGTGATATTGTTGCCTTGCTTGGTAGTACTGCGTCTGCTGATGCTGGGGTGCACCCGAATCCATCAGCGGCAGATTATGCTGACGCGTTTGGTATTGCTTTATTGAATGAGCGTTTACTGTCGCTTTTTCCGCGTTTTTAAAAACATCCTGCTCAGCACTCTGAGGCGACTGCTGGTGCGAAGATTGATGGGTTGACTGATAAGCAACATGTTGAAGATGATCAGGTTTTTCAGGACTATTCAGATTTCGTTGATATTCTTCCTGCGGACGACGATTTATCTCGTGCGGCTCATCCTGTACGCGTTCGTAACGCGGAGTCCGTTGTCTTTGCTGATGATAGCTGGACGGTACGAGGAAATGGCTCACCTGCTCGGGGGCAACCGAGGCCGTACCAGCGTACGAGTCTGCATTGCCGATCGAGCCTCTCCCCGCTGGTAGCGGCTCGCCTTGGTAAATGAAAATGAAAACCATATTATAGTTAGTGTTATCACTAATCACAACGCAATGTTTTTGTAGTCACAGTTAACATTGTTATTGTTGGTGTTATTGCTGATGAGTTGATTAATGATCGCACGATTTAAACCCGTTTCCAAACGGTGCCCGGTTTTATATCTAGTATGATAAGCACACCCATGATTATGCATCATGATATGATTTCTTGATAAGAAAGGTAACTTAGGTTCATCTTTTCAGACACTTTACAAAAGCAATATTGCTTCTCTTTACATAGTGCATTAGATTGCGCCGGTTCAATCAATAAAAGCAACAATTCGATTATTGGTGTCACAATAACGCCGGACCCCTTTATTATGAAGCATCTATTCATTATGAAGTACATTTCATAACAATTACTAATACACATCTGATGCGCATTGCTACATGCACTAATGTAAATGATTTACGGTAAACTATAGATAAAAAGCATGGTACATTATGTCTGTGTACGTTTTAATCTAACAAAAAATATATAATATGGAAGCAGGTGTGCAGAGCGATACGTGAATTTGATCTTATGAAAACTGAATAAGTGTTCAACTTACCAAACATAGAATATTCAAAAGGTCTTTCTGGCTTCGAAGAATGTAGAGAGCATACTTAAATGAACCTCAACTGTATCAATGACGTTGAAAAGAAAATAATCGGAAATTATGGTGTAAAATTAAATGGTCAAATTGGTCTAGAACATGATTCCGAGGCAAATCATGAATTGATTTTGTATGGCATGCTAGTTGTCCTTCATCATTAGCAATGATTGCCTTCCTGAGTTTCCACCTACGTCCTATTGGAGCCATGATGCTGAAGACCTTTTTCGAGATGTTCAATCCGAAACGGTGTTAATAATTTTTTAAAGCAAGCCTTTACAACACTGGCGAATACTCTATGCGTAATTTTTGAGAGATATACTTGCCGAGTCAAAAATAGGTAGAGATCTGCGCTAATTTTTCAAGAAAGCATTGCACTTCCCTCGGCCGAGTAGCTCCGAGGATTTAGTTAAAGAGGATAGCTGAAGTTCAGCTTAAAATCACACATTGGCGACTTATAAAGACCCAATTTTCCTTAATAAGCTGAATAAATCCTAGAATTTTGTTCACATCTTGCACTTTGATCAAGCGACCATATGGAACTTACTAATCATTCTGTTTCCGCGAAGTATTATGTGTACTCCGAATAAATAACAATTGATACCAGGTTCAGTCAGCTGTTGCAAGTAATTTCTAGATTAACTTAATGGTCAAGTTCTTTCAGCTGTTTTTGTTCTTTTCTGCACGGTAATGTTAATACTCTACTGACGTTGCCAAAAAACTGCAAATATGCTATAACTCAGATTCTTATTAGTAGGATTTGATAAGACTTTTAAAAGTTATTAAAATTTTTATAAAAAAAAAAATAGAGATTTACAAAGACTATATCAACTTCCCTTACCTTTTGTAAAAACATACTATGTATTAGAACGCTATCATTGGTACTGCAGAAACTTGGTTACGGCAAAATAAAAAACGCGATTCGCAATCACAAGGTCGAGACAAAAAAAACCTCAGCGAATAATGCAGCACCCAGGTACAACCCTTCAAAGCAGGTCGGACAAATCCGTCAAAAACGAAATGAAAGCGAGAACAAAATCAAATTGTTATACGATGCGCCTTAGACATGATTAGGATGATTCACGCTTAAGGTCTGAAAATAGAACTGTTAAGGATGTCATCTCATAGCCAGATATATGGATTTACTCTTCTTTAATTCTTTTTAATGTATTTGAGTTCTCCTGAAATGTTTACAAGCCTTGTCCCTTTACAAAAACTACAAATGAAGTGCTGGCCTCTCATCCTGCAGTTCAGTATCCGATACGAGCCGAAACCGTCCATCGGTAATTTCGCGCTGCATATTGTATAGTGTGAGGGCTAACGAAAGATCTAGATTCTATCAAACGAGTCTTAAGCTTTCATTGAGAAGTTTGCTAAGAAGTAAGCTATGACGAGTCATACTTCCAGCAAGGCAGTCCTTTGTATGGAAATAGTTGCTGTTGCTAATCCAGGAGCCTACCTAGATAGAAAGCGGAGGACAGATCATCGAGACGATCTGTCTCTTCCCATACCCAACGCGGCATTTATTAGTTAATTACAGTTATCAAGTAGCGCCATTTCGGTGTTTCTGTCATTGGCACGAAGTATGCTTTAGTTCCAAAAACCTAACAGCGGCCAAGGAGCTTGCATAACAAAATTGCCCTCGAATTGTCCTACAGAAAAAAGTAGCACCCCTTAGGACACTAAATGTGACAATTTAGCTTCGCTAATTTACGAGCCAAAAGCTTATACAATGATGTTTAATATAAAAAAAAGTACTCTAAAAAAATGCATTTATCGACACAAACGGCATACATAACTGCACAAAAGACCAAACGTAGGATTGTATTTAAGATGAAAAATAGGCATATATATGAAGCCAAGGCGGCAGATAAATAGGCTATCAGTCATGCATATGGAAAATATAGAAGCATGTGCAGAAATCAATTATGTGAGTGTGTGTATTATCTTTCAATAAATGAGTAATAACATAAATAGCTCGCGGTCACGTAAACGATTGTCAATGACGCACATCTGGTGCTTTTTTCTGTTATTATTGACATAATGATTTAATTCGTTTACCCCATTTTTCTATGCTTTTATTTAAGTTTTTCCGCAATTGTTGGACTTTGTCGCTCCTCTCTATGTAATACCTACATTTAGATGGTCTCTGCGTTGATTAAAGTTAGGTCGCTGGGGGCCTACTCGCACTCTGCTATCGGCCCGCATTAACGTCCAGTTTTTGGAAATAAATAGAAGTAGATATACGTAGCCAGTAGAATTACGTTTGTGGGAGCTTGAGAAGCCAGACGTCCGCTATTGGTGATAAATGGACTAATTATACTGTTGATTATGTCACAACGACGGACGTGCTTAGCTTTATTAAAACACGAACTGTGTTCGACCAAACTACGAATAATCTCATTTATAAACAAATCATCATCATCTACATTCATTTCTATGTCTATATATCGCGCTTATTTCAATTTTATTACAAATCTATTTTTTGCATCAAGTATAAGCCTAAGTTTTCCAAAATATTGAGGGCCCATTTCATCTAAACCTCCCGTTTTGCCTTTTGACTTTCAGGACTGTATGTTCAACATATCTTGAAAAAAAAAAATAAAAAACCCCTAACGCATCGAAGTTCAAATTTAGTAATTAAAAATTCATAAAAATGACCTGACTACGAAACACTGAGCACTTATTTTACGGGTTCTCTTCAGTGTGCTTCGCTATCTGGTTGGGATGCCTCTTTGACATAATATATATTTTTAAGATTGGGTTTTTTACGTATTACTTGGAGCTTATATATCCATATTGCATGGTCTTGGTCCGTGATGCTGAAAGTAGTTTTTAAGCCGAAATAATCATATGCCGCTTTCTTCTGTGCTTCGTTCGAAAGGGTCTCCATTAAGCACAAGCCCAACAATTACGACTAAGCTTGGCTTGATAAATCGCTCATATACACAGTCAGACACCGATACCAACAAAATTTCCGGTGCTATCAAAAGAGTTGGGCTTTCGGTAATCAATAAAGCTGCCGTTACAACTTTTTTCTTTTTTTGGAAAAACTTTATACGATGATCGGCTATTGGACTATTGGGTGTTCGCACTACAAATTATGAAATGACTGCTAAAACAGTAAGCGCGAAGAGCTAACGTACAGCAAATTGGTGACCAACTAGCTTTTCCGTTTAAATTTTGCTTGACAATTTTCATTACAAGATTCATTAAAAAAAATATGTTATTGAGCATATAACAACGACAATCAACGAAGACATGTTTATCACTATGTTGTTGTCGTTATGTGGCCAAGCCCCTTGTGTGTTAATTAGTTGGTTGCCCTTGTCGATGTTGTATCGCCGTTATAACTTGTGGCCATGATGATTTCTAAGTGGATTTTTTGGTTTAGGGATTAAATGGTTCATTGGATTGCGTAGGCCGAACACAGATAGAGACGTATCGTCGTCGTTTAACAAAACCGCACAAAATATTCGCATGTTCTAAATTTTCGAGAAAAGAGTAAGGCGTAGCTGCGTCGAGCAAGACAAGTAATAACCAGATCTTTCCTGATACTGTTTAACGTAGCCATGTATGTGTGTGCTGAAGCGTAATGAATTTTAACAGTTGTCCTGTTAATTCCGTTGTCGGTGATATTGTTCTTGGTACCGTTGCTATTACTTGATTTTATGTTATTGTTTCTATTGTTGTTGTGTTGTAATTCTGATGTTGATGTTAACACCGCGCACCTCCTTCTGTTGGAGTCTTTGTGGTAACGCCTTCCGTTGTATGCTGGTACCCTACATGCAGCCTACTAGATGTAAAAATATGAAGACAAAGAAGACAAGCACGATATGCGAATGCAGTCGTGTTGTCGCCGCTATAAATACTACATAACAGTATTAGACTTGCTCATGGGGCAAGGAGCTACCTGTCTACCTGACCTGCTTACACAAGCGTAGACTCAAGCAGATGCACAAACAAACAAGCAAACACACATGGGCACAGGCATACACGCATTCATCAGCTTCAACCACTGGTTTCGGAGGTTGAACGCATAAACGTATTTTTCTGCTGCTGGCCGATGCTGACCACCGCCAGTAGCCGTTGTCTCTCGTTGCCATTCAGACCGCATCTCCTGTACGTCGCCTTCGTGCTAGCGCTGCTACTTCTAGTAGCTATGATGATAATACGATTGACTGAGTGACTTGGGTTTCATGGGTCGAAACCGACCGAGATGATCGAAGCGACCAATGAATCGCGGTAGAGCTGCTGCTGCCACCCTTGTTGTTGTTGTTTTTTCGGTTCTTGACAATTACGTCCAGTTGTGCTGTCGATGCGACAGCAGCTAATAGATAAAGCTGTGTAAATGAACGGCGTCG